TGACCTTTACCATGAGCATCATGACTTATGACCAAGAGTCTGCACTCAATTGCAGTCATATGTTTTTTTTTGTTTTTTTTTTAATTTTTTTATTGAGTTTTAAACAGAGATATAAAGACAATACAAAGACTTTACAAAGACAAACGAGTTCCCACCACCAACCTACCCACACCATACTTTACATATATGTTTTGATCATCATCAGAATATATATTGCTTTATAAGTTAATATATACGTAATACATTGTCAATTCAGATGTTTTAGATTAGAAATAATCTTGCATCTCCTCTTTATTTAGTTGTTTCCGGTTTTATTTTTTCTACCCTATATTCTTTCATCTATATTTGTACTGATTTTCTTTTCCAGCCATTGATACCACTGGTGCCACACAAGATAGAATTCACTTTCTTCTTTATCTTGGAGTTCTAATGTCAGTCTATCCATTTCGGCACATTCTGTTATCTTTGAGATTAGTTTGTCTTTGGTTGGGAGTTGATCTGATTTCCAATTTTGCGCAAACAGTAACCGTGCTGCTGTCAAAATGTGTATGATGAGGTATTTTGTCTCTTTGTTGTGTTGTGTTGTTATCATTCCAAATAAAAAAAATTCTGGAGTGTTTTCTACTTGTTGGTTTATTATTTCTTCAATGATTTCCTTTGTGTCCTTCCAGTATTGTTGGGCCTTTGTACATTTCCACCAGGCATGGTAGTATGTCCCCTTTTTTGTTTTGCACTTCCAACAGCGTGGGGAGGTGTTTGGATATATTTTGGCTAGTCTGGCTGGTGTCAGGTGCCATCTGTAAAACATTTTTATGAGGTTTTCTTTGTAGGGTATGGCTCTTGTCATTTTGATGTTCTGTTTCCACAATTTCTCCCAGTTTGCCAGTTGGATGTTGTGCCCTATGTCCCTGGCCCATCTTATCATATTTTCTTTTACTGTTTCTTCCAGTAATTTATATCTAAGTAAGTAGTTATATAATTTGGTTATCATTTTTTGTTCTGGGCCTTGTAAAATCTTATCCAATTCGTTCAAATTATTCGAGATTCCATATTGCTTTTTGTCTGCTATGTGTCTTGAGTGTATTTGAGTATAGGGCCACCAATCGATATTTATGCCGGAGTTTTGGAGTTGCTGTCTTGAAATGAGTTCGCCTTCATGATTCAGTAAGTCTTGGTACCTCATCATTTTTCCTATTTCGAGAGTGTTCGGGTATATCAATGCTTCCATCGGGGACCACCATTTTGGTATTTTAGTATAGTGAGTTCTCTTAATATCCTGCCAGATCTTGAATAATGAAGCTCGAATTATATGACATTGGAAGTACATGTGTCTCTTATCCGATCCGTCCCATAAGAAAGCGTGCCATCCTCTTATTAAGTCAAAGCCTTCTAAATATAAAGTTCTTTTGTTGTCGAGTTCCATCCATTCTTTAATCCAGGTCAATCCTGATGCCTTATAGTAGAGTTCCCAATCTGGTGTTGCTAGGCCTCCTTTGTCCCGTGAATCCTGTAGGGCTTTGATTTTAATTCTGGCCTTCTTTCCCTGCCATATGTAGTTCATTGTTGTTTTGTTGAGGTTCTTAAAGAAATCTCTTCCGGGGTGTATTGGTATCACTTGATATAAATATAGTACTCTTGGTAATATATTCATTTTTATTGAGGCAATTCTGCCCATCAATGAGAGTTGTAATCTACTCCAAATTTCTAAGTCTTTTTTTATTTGTTTTAACAATTTGGTATAATTATCTTCTTTAATTGTAGTTGCTTTTGCTGTCAACCAAATACCTAGGTATTTTATTTTCTTTACTATTTGAAGTCCTAATTCTTGTTCTAATTTCAACTGTTGTGTTTGGGTCATATTCTTCGTCAATACTTTCGTCTTCTGCTTATTTATTTTGAGGCCCGCAACTTCCCCGTATTCCTCTATCATTGTCATCAACCTGGTTCCAGATCGTATTGGGTTTTCCAATATGAAGATCACATCGTCTGCAAAGGCAAGTAATTTATACTCCTCTCCCCGAATCTTAAGGCCTTCCACGTCTTCTTCCTTCCTGATTTCCGTTAGTAAAACTTCCAGTGCGATTATAAATAATAGGGGTGACATGGGGCAACCTTGTCGTACGCCTTTCTGGATGTCAAAAGTTTGTGTCATGTCACCATTTATTGCAATTTTGGCTGTTTGACAGGAATAAATCTTTCTTATCAATTTAAGGAATTTCTCTCCGCAATTCATTAATTCAAGTTGTGATGTAAGAAAGGACCAATTTAAATTATCAAAGGCCTTCTGGGCGTCGAGAGATATTAAAGCTATTTCCTTATCTATTTTCTTATCGTAGTATTCCAGTATATCTATAATCGTTCTCAAGTTATTTTTAATCTGCCTCCTGGGTATGAAGCCGTTTTGGTCTGTATGTATGTATTTATGAATTATTGTTTTAAATCTCTGCGCTAATATTGACATGAATAGTTTGTAGTCTACATTGAGTAATGAGATGGGTCTGTAATTCCTAACTTGGGTCCGGTCTAAATCTTCTTTGTGTATTAACGTAATAATGGTTTCTGTCCATGATTTTGGGATTTCAGCTGTCAATAATGCTGCGTTGAAGACTTGTAGCAATATTTCGTCTATTTCTTGTTGGGAGTGTTTATAAAATTCAGTAGGAATTCCATCTGGTCCTGGAGTTTTATTGTTCTTTTGTTTTTTACGAGCTTCAATCAGTTCAGTCATTGTTATGGGGCGATTCAGGGTCTCTCTATGTTCTTCTTCGAATTGTGTAATATTCACTTTACTAAGATATTTTCGAATTTGGTCTTCAGGGACATCTTCCTGCCGATAGAGATTCTGAAAGTATGTTTTGGCTATGTTTTTCTTATCTACGTGTGTATGGAATAAAGTTCCTGATTCGTCCTGGAGTTGGTGTATAATTCTTTTGTCTGTTTGCTTTTTTAATTTATGGGCTAACCAGCGTCCAGTTTTATTTGCGTGTTCGAAGTTGGTCTGTTTTGCCATTTTTATTTTTTGTGCCAAATCAGCTTTTGTAGTCAAATTCAATTTGTGTTTAGCCAAATTAAGTTTTTGCAGTCATATGTTGAGCACTTCCTGTATAAGACTAATGGTTTGAGCCCTTGACTAATGGTTTTGAATCAAAGTTGATTTTTTTCCCTCTGTTATGCAGCCAGTAAACCAATCTTCATTCTGGTATGCTTAGCACACTGTTATTTGACTTTTTCCCAATGCAATCTTTGTAAATTAGTATTCTACTGGATTATATGCCAATAGTAGAATTCAATCACATGACAATCAAGTATTGCAATACACATCGCAATTTCTGGAGAAATACATGAAAATAATTGCAATGGAATGCAATGGAGGGTAGAGAATGGAGAGTAGTGTGGTTTAGTGTAGTGGAAGAATGGAATGGAGTCAAGAAATGTTTTTTATCAGGGCAACCTGAACTACCCAGTAAATATAAATTTAACAAAAAAAGAGAAGTCGAGAGTTGAGTGGACTGGAGTGGACCAGAATGGAACAGGACATGACAGGACAGAATAGATCTACAGTAGCTACAATCAATGTCTATACATATGGCCATAACTATAACTATATCTCTGTTTTGGTTTATAGATCTCAAGATATTATATTTTTCTTGTGGCTCATTCCTTCTTGCCTCAAGAGGGCTTCAGATGTTTTGAAGATGTTTACATAGGTGACAGTGTCTCTATCGTAATGGATTTAGCTTGTTTGTCTCTTCCAAATCCTATGGGTCTTCATGGGAAAAGGAGGGGCTGACCTTGAAGGATGTTATTTATTGTTCTTATGATATTCCATCTCATGGATGGAAGCCCCAAAGCTTTGTGAGTTGATTTGATAGTATGTTACACTGTCTATTTCTCTTTGAAAAACATCTCAAGAAGACAGGTCAGTCTGATCTACTTCAAAGTTCTTGTTGCAGACATAGGCATTTGTACATAAAAAAAAGACACTCATGGAAGATGTTAGCATTCGTGCAGTTACTCCTAATAGTACTGCCTCAAATAGTGTGCAAGGATCCTAGCCTTCAGTGTGATTTTGATGAGCTTCCTCTTATTCATCACACACATCATCAGCTTGGAGAGATTAATATCGCTGGCATTATTTCTGTATTCTTTACATTTTCTAAACCCATTGATTTCAGTCAACATCCTTCTCAGGGGTTTCATGATGGACTTATGTACGTACAACATCGTTTCATTGTCAAGTTCTGGACATTGCTGTTAAATCACATGATGCTTCAAATTTTTTCCTTTAATGACAAAAATCAAAAGAAGCATCTTAAACAAAATGCTAGATTTATGAAGTTATATTTTACTTTAGTTTCTATGTAAAGTTGAAAAAGATCCAAATCTACTTTTATATAAAAAGAACCATCTATATATCAAATATAAATCAATTTAGGTCCTCATTTAATTGACGGTGGAAGGATGGAAGAATGAGTCAACCTTGTGCTGGTCAGAATCAAATTCCTGACAGTGGGCAGAGTTAGCCTGCAAAACTGCCTTCCAATCACTGTGCCACCATGGTCAGATATAACTACCACTATGGTTTTTTGGGGGGAGGGGCAGGACACATATTTTCTATTGTAAATCTTCTCATTTGATTTTTTGGTACATAAATTTAGCAATTTCATCTATATTGAAAAATGGAGCTTGGATACAGGGACTTTTCCATACATTAAGAAATAACGCTTCCAATTTTAAGGCAGTATTTGTTTTGTATTAAAAATAACTCCAGTTCCTGGGAGGATATATATGTGCTAGTATTTTGCTTTGCATTTTCCAGAATCTTAAATGAATAATAATAATACTGTACTGAAACACATTCCATAAAATGTGTTGCACTGAAAGATTACAAGTGTCATAATAAGAAGCAAACAACTTTTGCTGCATATTTCATTTTGATTCTTTTGGTTTTACAGAATATTTTTTCAGAATTATCAGCATATCCTGGCCTTAGTGTTTGCTGTAAAACAAATCAATGAAAATCCCCAGATTCTACCCAATGTCACGCTGGGCTTCCACATTTTTAACAGCCATTTTAGTCCAGGCTGGACTTACTTTGCCTCAATGTTGCTGCCTTTCACTCAGGGAAAATTCAGCCCTAACTACAAGTGTGGGGTCCCAAAAACTTTGGCTGCAGTCATTGGTACACCTGACATCGCTCTTCACATGGCAACTCTATTGCACATCTACAAAGTTCCTCAGGTAAGATGTACTGAAGATATACATTCTCATTCTGCCTTACCTCCCCAGACATCTGTATGCTTTTGTTTGCAAAAAGGAGAGAACTTTCAGATTCCCAGTTATTTTTTTTGCTTGGTAGGATCACCATAGCGACATGAATAATTGTTACTGAATAGATAGTGGATATATTTGGCATAGCAAACCATTCTCCAATTCCAAACTTTGAACTAAGGTTCAAATCTGAAATATTCACAATGAGACTATTTACTGATATCTTAGGAATGGCATCTTGGTTGATATTTCAGAATAAACGTAACTAGTATTTCACTATATAAACTGAAGGGCAGTCAAAGATTGAAATGAATATTAACATTTTCAGAGGCTCACATAGACCTTGAATTCAATATGTTTATCTTTCTATAGTTGACCTATGGCTCTACTCCAGTCATGGATAAAGAGACTCAATCAATTTTCTTCCAACAAATGTTTCCAGATGAATCCCATCAACGTAAAGGCCTCTTGCAGCTACTGCTGTGTTTTAGATGGATCTGGATTGGAATTCTTGTTGTAAAAGATGAGAAAGGAGAGAAATTTGTCCAGGAGATGATTCCCACATTTTCTGAGAATGGCATCTGTGTTGAATTCATAGTAGAGTTACCAAATGTAGCTTTTTACAGTGACTTTATTGATACTATGGAGGAAGGATTACATATCTACCATGTTCTCATGAACAGCACGGCCAATGTAATAATCTTATATGGTGAAATTCAGTCCTTATCAGTTCTGAGAACTTTCCTCCAGTATTCTGAAGTGGAGGATATACCAAGGAAGAATAAGATTTGGCTTATAACTGCTCAGACAGATTACACATCAATGTCTGTTCATAAATCATGCAATATCAGTTTCCTACATGGTGCTTTATCCTTTGCAGTTCACACAAAGAAAGTACCAGAATTCCAGGAATTTCTTCAGAACTTAAGTCCAAACAACAATCAACACGATCATTTTCGGAAAGATTTTTGGGAACAGGCATTTGATTGTTTCTTTGCAAACTCAAAAATGGAGAATTCAAAAATTGAGACATCTGGGAAGAAATGTACTGGGCAGGAGAGGCTTGAGACCCTTCCCACATCTGTGTTTGAAACACGCATGAGTGGACAGAGTTACAATATTTACAATGCAGTCCATGTTGTGGCACATGCTTTGCAATCTTTGTATTTATCCAAATCCAGGGGAAAAACAATAAAGAAAGAAGGAAGGAAACAGTTTCACAGTCAAGTGTGGTGGGAGGTAAGTCTGTAATTAGAGTGCAGAAACCACCATATCTGTAGCTGCAACATCTGTCAGTAAACTCTAGCAAACAATATTCTCTAGGGATATTGACATTAAGTCTGAAAGCAGTACAACTGAATTGAAAAAATAACTGAAATCTTTAACGATAACAATAAACATACACAATAAAGATATACTATAAATTGGTTTAATAAGTGTGCATACCTTACTGTAAGTGGGGTTATGGCTGTGTTCAAATTAACCAATCACATTCAAACTGATGGAAACTAGTAGTCAGTACATACCTGCATCAATTCAAATGTCTCTAATCTAGCTTGTATAAAGTCCAGCTGTTCTAGTAGGATTTTTCTGACACTTACTCAGTTGCCTCTTACAGGAAAAACTATGATCTGCAAAGAGCATAAAAAACATCAAAGAGATCTCATTGTAGGAAGGTATCAGTCAGAAGAAGGGTACAAAATAATTTCTAACGTATTGGATGTATCGTAGAACACAGTGAAGGCAGTCACCAACAGGTGGAGAAAATATGGCATAACAGTGCCATTACCAAGAGTTAGATGTCCCTCCAAAATTAATGAAAAAAACAGAAGAAAACTGGTCTAAGAGTCTGCGAAGAGGCTTACAAAACATTATAGGAGCTGCAGGAATTTCTGGCAAGTACTGATTGTGTTTTATAAGTGAGGTGGAGAGAATTATGAACAGTTCCAAATATCAGTCAATTTTGGCACAAATACTTCAGACTTCTGCTAAAATGCTGAAGATGAAGAGGGTTTTCACCTTTCAATATATACTATGCCCCAAGGCATACCTTCAAATCAGCAAAAGAATAGATTCACCAGAAGAAGAAGAACATTTTGAAATGACCAAGATAGACTCTAGATCAGAATCAAATTAAAAATCTGTGGACTGACCTGAAGAGGGCAATGCCCAGGAGATGTTCTTTCAATATGATGCCTTTGCCATATGAAATATTTGGACTGCTTTGGCAAGGAAGAGTGGGCATAAATTGCCAAGATAAGATGTGCCATGCTGATAGGTTCCTACCGCAAAAAACTGAATCCTGCCATAAAATCAAAAGGTGCTTCAATAAAATATTAGTTTAACAGTGTGCACGTTTGTACATTGTTATATGTGATTATTTTTATTTCTCCTCCCCAAAAGGTTTCAGTTTCAGTTCAAGTGAGAAAAAAAAATAAACTAAATTGTACAGTTTATATATTATATGAAAGGTGGAAAAAATTCAGAAGTGATTTATCTTAGTCTGATTTTTTATATATATCTTTAGGACCTGGCATTTTAACAGGGGTGTATAGCAGCATGATGGCTCATGAGGGGACACGAGTACTCATGCATGGTAGGGTGAGATCCCATCAATTGCTCCAGTTCCTGCTGGCCTAGCAGTTTGAATGCATGGAATTACAAGTAGATAGATAGGTACCACTTTGGTGGGCATGTTAATAGGGTCATGAAAGGAGCCTTCATCCAGGCATCACTTAATCCTTTCAACTAGGAAGCTCCTTGGTGCTTCCAACACAAAAAAAGATTGCAAACAGGGGTATGTATATATACCCCTGCAACTTAAAAGGTGAAACTAATATATGAGATAGGCTCATTACATGCAAAGTGAGATAGTTCAAGCCTTGATTTGTCATAATTTTTATGATTATGGCTTACACCTCATGAAAACCCCAAATTCACAATCTCATAAAATTAGAATATTGTGAAAAGGTTCAATATTCTAGGCTCAAAGTGTCCCACTCTAATCAGCTAATTAAGCCATAACACCTGCAAAGGGTTCCTGAGCCTTTAAATGGCCTCTCAGTCTGGTTCAGTAGGAATCACAATCATGGGAAAAACTGCTGACCTGACAGTTGTGCAGAAAACCATCATTGACACCCTCCATAAGGAGGGAAAGCCTCAAAAGGTAATTGAAAAAGAAGTTGGATGTTCCCAAAGTGCTGTATCAAAGCCCATTAATAGAAAGTTATGTGGAAGGGGAAAGTGTGGAAGAAATTGTGTATTTATATGTTGCTCTGCTGCCTTATTTACAGAGACCCCCAAATGTTGACCAATACCATTTAGGTCAGGGCTAATTTTATGAACTATAGTAACAGAATCCTACAAGTCTAAGTGTCCTTAGCCCTCCTTCATATTCTCTTTGTTTGATGTGAGTATGACTGAAATGTTTTCTCTAGTTATATTTGTTGGTCCAGGCTCCAGATCTTATTTGACTGTTGCCTTGATAGTGGCTCTCCATCCTGTCCTTCAAGACCATTCCTATTAGCTCTAGAGATGGAGGGAGGTTGATTTCCTTAGTCTCTTGTTAGTGGGTCAGGCATTGGGCTATCAGACATTGTAGCTCCAGTTCTTGTGGGAGCCATGATTGAATGCATATGACTCCTCTAAATGAAATGCTCCTGAGCCCATCTAGGTCAACAGGTCAACTCGATATGTCTTACGACCATTTTTCTCTCAATTTTCAAAATAAGATTACATATTTAAAAATGTAAGACAAGAACAAGATAAAAATAACACTGAAAAAGTATGTCTTACTATGTGTATGTGTGGTATGTATACATACATACACATATACCTTTTCAGTTACTTTCAGTTACATTTTCTTTTATCTTATTATTTATCATGGTTGCACAATGGTTAGAATGCAGTATTGCAGGCTGACTCTGCCCACTGGCAGGAGTTCAGTCATGACCTAGTGTCAGGGTTCTGATGCTTTGCGAATTGATACCTAGGTTGATTCAGTATTCTATCCTTCCAAGGTAAAATGAGGACCCAGATTGTTGGGGGCAATATGCTGACTGTGTAAGCTGCTTAGAGAGGGCTGTAAAGCACTGTAAAGTGGTATATAAGTCTAAGTGCTATTGTTATTGATATCTTGGTTCCAGTCTGCAATAATTCAAACCAAACTTTAGCATGGCTTGAGCAAGTATAAGGCTCTTTAGAAATAAGAATAGTATTAAACTTTTGTAGCCTTATGCATCCTTGTACTTATTACCATGTTTTCCCAAAAGTAAGATCCTGTCTTATATTTTTTTGAACCCTGAAATAAGCGCTTGGCCTTATTGCCATGTGCTCAAAAGACGGATTGGGTTTATTATCAGGGGATGTCTTATTTTGGGGGAAACAGGGTATATATTTATCAGAAGTAATCTAATTTAAGAAGCTTTCACAATTAAACTACAAAGTGTAATTTTTTTGCTTTTTTGTATTACAATTCTATGTTAATTTTATTTCAGTAATCGGATATTTTACCTCTACTCCTATTTTGGAATGACTGTTATGTTGTTTGTTTGGTATTGGCCTACAACTAAAAAAAGTTTTTTATATTTTCTTTCTTTAAAGAGGCATCCATATATATGTTTTGAACATATGAATTATTTTTCACTCCCTTTATCCTGTTCTCTCTTTGTCCCTTTCTCTGTGTTGCTGTATTTCAGGTTCATTCTTTTCTGAGAAGTGTCAGATTCAACAACAGTGTTGGTGAAATGATCTCCTTTGATAAAAATGGAGAATTCATTGGTGGATTTGATATTATCAACTGGATCACATTCCCAAATCAGTCTTTTCTTAGGGTCAAAGTTGGAATGGTAGATCCCACAGCTCCAGCAGACAAGTTCTTCAATATTTCTGTAGATTCCATCACGTGGCCAGAAGGCTTTAACCAGGTGAGTCGTGTGAATCTAGATTTGTCTGTCTTCATTTATATACTATAAAAATATGATTATTAATGGTTGTCTCAGAGCATCATCTGTGAATAAAGTTTGTACTAAGTAGAAATGTCCTGAAGAAAGAAAACATTATCTGTAAGAATGTTTACTTTTCTAATAGTTGGTATAAAACACTGTACCCTTTATTTTGGCCCTGTTAATTATGGACCTTGGTTTTAAAAGCAAGAGCTCAAGTCTAGTGTACTACATTTCTGTTGACTTCAAATCCAGAACCATCTTTAACTAACCAGAAATTGTCTTTGGAGAGTGAGGATGATAGTCATGAAAAGTCATAGATGTCAATAAAGATAGATATTTAATGAATTATTATTTCAGACTGAGTCCCTGTCAAAATGATGATGGCCCCAGAGCATCATGTCTGAATAGGTTAAGTTAATAGGTTAAGTACAAATGTACTTAGGAACAAATTATCTGTAGTTGGTATAGAATCTTTACATTGGCCCTCTGTTAATTATGGACAACATTTTTCATGTTTTGAAGTAACTGAAACTAGTGAATTAGTAAAAGCTGAAACTAGTGTATTAGATTTCATCAGTCGAGAGATATTTAATGAATTATTATTTCAGACCAATTCCATCTTAAAATGATATCATCACATTCTGCTTATTAATCCATATTTATTCTGTTGATTCCACAGTAACAGTATTTCTCCAAGCACCTCCTTTCCCCTCTGTATCTTAAAATATTCTTCTTCATTCATTGATAGACATTGCCTCTATCTTTATGTAATGATCCTTGTGAGACAGGATACAGCAAAGCCAAAAAAGAAGGAGAGTCATTTTGCTGCTATGATTGCCACCTGTGTCCAGAGGGAAAAATATCAAAGGAGAAGGGTAGGAAATTTCCAAATTTAATGGGACTAAGCCATGAAGGTACAACACTGTCTATAATCATTGATATCAATTCCACTCTGTTCTTTTTCAGACAAGGATGACTGCTCTCCATGTCCCGAAGATCAATATCCAAATCCTGACAAAAATATGTGCATTCCAAAGCAGATCACTTTTTTATCCTACAAAGAACCCTTAGGAATCAGTCTAACCATTCTTTCTCTTTGCTTTTCTTTGATGACAATTTTGGCAATAATAACCATCATGAAACATAAAGACACTGCTATCGTTAAAGCCAACAACCGGAATCTCACCTACACTCTCTTAGTTTTCCTCCTCTTCTCTTTCCTTTGTGTGTTTCTATTTGTTGGGAGGCCCAATACGATTGTATGTGTCCTTCGACAACCAGCTTTTGGGCTGATCTTTTCTGTAGCAGTTTCTTGTGTCCTGGCCAAAACTTTTGTTGTGGTTCTAGCATTCATGGCCACGAAACCTGGTTCCAAATTGAGGAAATGGGTCGGGGGCAGAATGATCAGTTTCATTCTTCTATCCTGCTCCCTTGTTCAAATATCTTTTTGTGCTGCATGGCTAATAATGTCCCCACCATATCCAGATTTTGATACACAGTCGATGTCTGAAGAAGTCATCATGGAGTGCAAAGAAGACTCGGCCATGTTCTACTGTGTTTTGGGCTTTATGGGTTTTCTTGCTCTGCTTAGCTTCTCTGCTGCTTTTCTAGCTAGGAAGTTACCTGACAGTTTCAATGAAGCCAAATTCATCACCTTCAGCATGTTGGTCTTCTGCAGTGTTTGGCTGTGTTTTATTCCAACGTATCTAAGCACAAGGGGAAAATATATGCTGGCAGTGGAGATCTTCTCCATGATCTCCTCCAGTGCTGGCTTATTGGTGTGCATCTTTTTCCCCAAGTGTTTTATCATTGTGATGAGACCTGAACTGAACAATAAACATCAGCTCATGAAAAGAAAGTTTTAATAATGATATTCTTTATTTCTCCATGTTGCAGATCTTCCCCACTTGCATATTTAAGCCAGAAAACAAGCTGTAGTTAGATTGGCCTCCTATGTTGCAATTCCTATCCTTCCCTGGAGATTTGGGTAGGTCATAACGTTTTTTCCTTCTGAAAGACAATTAAAAATGGGGACCATAAACCAAATAAATAATAGTACAAATTGATTTATTGAAATATTTCAGTATGTGATAGACATCTCTGACTAAATATATAGATTAAATGTGAATGTTAAGTTTGTTTTTACTAGTCATCTTAATTCCTTTGCATGCTAAAGGTAAAGGTTTCCCTATCCAGTTGTGTTCATCTATGTTTCTTGGCTGAGGGATCCAGCATTGTCCGAAGACATTTTCCATGGTCATGTGACCAACATGGCTATATGCCAAAGGCGTACAAAATGCTATAACCTTCCCACCAATGTGGTACCTATTATTAATTTGCATTTGCATACCTTTGAACTGCTGGGTGAACAGGAGCTGGGACAAGAACCAGAGCTCACCCCATTTTGCAGTTCCTTTAACTATTAAGCCATCATGCCCCCTCAATATATGCACACTAGAATATGTAAAAAGAAGTGGGGATTAAATACAAATGAGACTTTCATTTAAATAGGGAAGGCCTATGAATTGATTCTGTAGCAATTGGACAGTGGGAATTCTCTGGTGCAGATCATGTGTAGCAGGGGTAAAATGCACTTAATTTCACTACCAGATCACAAATGTGAGTGCGTGCACTTCTTCTGCGCATGCACAGAGGGTCATAAATGGGACAACATGACATCCAGGCAGGTGAGCATAGCCTTCCGCCGCCAGCCCTACCGGATCACGCGAGCCCGATAGATCCGGCTGGATTTCACTGCTCATATTTAGTGATCACCTACGAAACATGGTGTAAAATCAAAAGATCTTTTATTGGGCCATATGTCTTCTCCTCAGTAGCAAAGACAAAAAAAATATCTGGTACAAAAATAATTCTAGTAAATCCAAATAAATTCCATCATAAGTCCAACACATGTTAGTATCCAATTACATGATGGTCTCCTTCTAGGAAATTCAATTGAGTATGATAACTTTGTAGAACAGTAGGTTCCATTGCCATAAGTCTGAGTCCATAGAGTTTTGCAATTCTTTTTTTTTTAATTGAAAAAGTTTTTCAAATACAGATTTTTCCCCTTTTACCCCCCTCCTCCCTAACCCCCCCTCCCCCTCCCCTCCCCTCATGGCTTCTCCAAAATAAAATCCAAATTGATATCAGATTATATAATACTTTACCATCCTTTTACACCACCCCCCATATGCTAACCATTTCTTTCTAACATTATTATTATATCCCCCCTATACTATACTATATATAGTATATATATATATGTATACTATACATTTCAAAGCAACATTCAGCTATAAAATTATATAATAAATCCTAATTTGGCATTTATTCAACTCATAATCTACCCATTTCCTCCACCCCCATAACATCCCTTTTCCTAAACTAAACAATCAGTAGCCTAACCTATCTCCACCCACATTCCTACAGGTCTACCATGCATAATTTTAATATCTTTGTTCTTCTGCCCACTAAAAGATATTTCCATATATAAATAAAATCCTCAAATGACTTTAAATTTGTAATCCATATAGTATCTTCTGTAATGTCTTTCAACTGGATTGTTAATTCCATCGCCCATGTTAGGGTAACATCAAGTTCTGCTTCCAACAGTATATTCAGTATCTTCAATTACCATCTGCCCCCATCAATAATAAATGTTTTCATATATAAAAAACCACCCAAGTGACTTTATATTTATATTCCATGTAGTATCTTCTGTAGTGTCTTTTATCTAGATTATTAATTCCAACCACCACGTTAGAGTAACAACCAGATCTTCTGCATGCCCCAATCCCATAGTTCTCTTGCCTTATAACTCAACATATACGTAATCCATTTTTCAAGGAGTCCAAAATAGAAAGTTCCAATCCGCTCAATCAAAGGCCATCTTCCACATCCCAAAAGCACCAGCACTGCAGAAATCTGTTATTCTTCTCAAAATAGTATAAGTCAGTAATTTGCCTCAATTATATTTTCATGTATCAGCCTTCTATAAATCCCGCTTATTATATTTAATCGTCTCTTAAGTAACTGGCATTAGTCTGTTGGCTAAAAAAAAGAAAAAGAATTTTTTTTTGTTTAGTTTAAAAATTTTTAGTTTTGTAGAACCTGCTTCTTCTTTTCTTAACTTGTTGTGGTTTAGATCTCCATCCTGATTGCCTTTCTAGGACTTGTATATCAGCTGATTGAATTCCATGCTGGTCTGTAACTTGATAAGACATCAAATCGAAATCCAAAGCCGCCTCTCTTATATTTGTAGGTGATCCAGCTATAGCCTCTGAAGGAGAATCCAAAAGCGGCTCATCCAAAAAGGCCTCTGTAACTTGTTGTTTTTCCATTACCTCCATCTCCATCTGCTTAGCCTGAGTTTCAATCTCTTGTTCATTTTGCTTTTCTTTATCCCCCTCCTGTGTTCCTAACACTGATGGCATACGTGGAGATGTTGAATCCATTTTAAAAACCTTGTAGTAAAATTCTTCCGCTTTTTCAACAGTATTTAGTTGATATCTTTCTCCTTGATATCTCAATATTATACCAACTGGAGCATCCCACCTAAATGGGATGTTTTGTTTCTTTAGCTCAGTCACCAAAAATCCAAAGTCCTTTCTATCTTTTAACATCTTGGACGGCAGCTGTTTATATATCCAAATCTTCCTTTCATTCATTTCTAGAGTGGAGTTAAAAGACTTTTGCACAATATCATTTCTTATTCCTTTATCAGTAAAGTAAATCACCACATCTCTAGGCAACTGCCTTTGCTTTGCCACCCAAGAGTTTACTCTGTAGGCCTTATCAATCTTACAGGATACCTCTTCCGGACTAACCTTTAAAATCACAGCCAGAACTTCAGCAGACATCTTTCTCAAGTCATCTCTATTATTTTCCTGTATTCCCCTTATTCTGACCGCAAATTCCATGGAACTGTATTGCATCATTGTGACTTCATCTTCAATCCTTTGTTTTATATTATCTGCATTGTAAATCTTGTGATCAGCTTCCTTTATTTTAGACTCTACTTCTGAGCTATTTTCTTGAATATTTATCAAATCATTTTCAATTCTTTGTATTTTATTATCCAGATTATGAATCTTATAATCAGCTTCGTTCATTTTAGACTCTATTTCTAAGTTGATATCTTTATCCATCTTTATAATTATTTCTGAAAAGCTTTTCAATGCTGTTAAAATATATCGTTTCAGGTTATCATACTTTTGTTGTACCAACTCTTTAATTTCCTGTCTGAATTTTTCAAGATTCTGGTTCACAATCTCATCATGTCTTGCCATCTCCTCCAAAACAAATTCCTTTAGGTCTTTAAAGCCATTCTTCTGCATCTGCAAGCTCAAAGCTTGTTCATGTGATTTATAAATGGGGGAGCCCCCCCCCCACAGCTTGGTTGTCTGGCTTTGTCAGTTTTAACGCCATCCTGCCACACAAACAAACTATTTTTAAAGAAAAAGACTTCTCTCCAAACAATATCAATATCAAGTCTCTAAGAAGGAAGAAGCATGAAATAGGAATTTTTCTCTTCACTTCTAGCCAGCGCTATTGTTTTAGATACTTTGTAACGTATTAAACTATTCAAACGGAAGGACTTTCGCTTTCAGCTTTCTTCTCAAGCCTCAGCCAGTCGCCATTTTAAACTTTCTTTCTTCGCTTTTAAAATCACTCATAGGGTTGTTAGAAATACTTGCAGTTTAGAGTCCCAGATCCGGATTTCATCCTGTTTGTTCAGACAATCTGTTAATTTTTGTTGATTGGGATGGTCCCATCACCTGGCTCTGCAAAGGGCAGAGTTCCCCCGAAGCCCGGAGCAGCGGCGAGCTGGATAGGGAGCCACATTCTGCTTCCTCCCCAAGAGTAAAAAAAAAAACTCTGGGGAGTTCGCAGAGGGCTCTACCTGTTCTCGCCAGCTCTCTCTCATGTCTCCTCAAGGAGACGGAGTTTTTCGAGCCGTCTCTCAGCTGTAGAGATGGCTCTTACGGGCGACGAGGCTGGAGGTCCCGAAAGACCATCTGGCGGCGACGGAAGCCAAACCGGAAGCCCGAGTTTTGCAATTCTTGATTGAGAAGCATATTGTGATTCTAAGTACCAGCTGATGAGATCTCTTGAAGAACACTAGCTGGAAGTTGCAGACAATTTGGAACCAAGTTATCTGAGGAACTGTCTCAACCCTATGGAGTTATTCCACCACAACCGTGCCAGCAGAAGACATGTGGCTGCTGTTGTTGAAGGAATTCTGGCTGGCAGGATCCAGGAAAAGACCACTTTCTGCCATATCACTTGCCCTAATAGAACATCATGCCCGCAAAGGTGAAATTCACACCCATTCTTCTGGCCTTTTGAAAGATTGAACACTTGGCTCTTTCAGCTGGTCTGGGGTTCCAGTGAAGGAAGTGACATCTTCAACGTGATTTAATTGATTAGAGAGAATTCACCTACTCCCATTGCCCACTTCATTTTGGTTAATAGAATTTTAACTGAATTATAAATTGTCTGTATTTAATGTTTTATATGGTATTTGATTAAATGACTACAAACCTAGAAACTCTAGGTTTTCTCTCATTCATTCAATCAAATACAATATAACACATTAAAACAGACCAATTTATAATTGGGAGAGAAAATTTATAATACAGACCTAATTTATAATTAGGCCTAAGGCCTCAGAGAATCTAATGAGAGTGGGAAAAGGGTTCTCTCAGGGTTGGGAAAGCCAGGGCATGTGGGCTTAAACCTGTACTAGCTTCCAACAGCCTCCACCATCCAGGAGGCAACCTACACTCCACTTAATGACCCACACATTCATTTTATGTATGTTGGGAGTGAGCAGAGATGGGGGAAGGTGTTAGGTGACATTTTCACCTAATAACTGCCATGACTTGTGACCATAATAGACAAGCTCCATTATAGTTGTATCTTGAGGATTACCTGTAATTGAAATGGAATGGACTGTAATGGAGAGTAGAGAATGGAGAGTAGAATACTATGTTTCCCTGAAAATAAGACCCTGTATTATATTTTTTGAACCCTAAAATAAGTGCTTGGCCTTATTGCCATGTGCTCAAAAGCCCAATTGGGCTTATTATCAGGGGTTGTCTTATTTTGGGGAAAACAGGGTAGTTTAGTGTAGTGTAATGGGAGAACAGAACAGAACAGGAAAAGAAATATCAATGCCTATACTTTGCTGCAAGTTTTTAATGATTTTATTTTTGTCTTGTGGCTCATGGTTTCCTCCTCTAGAGGCTCTGCATGTTTTGAAAATGTTCACATATGTGACTGTCTCACTATCATCATGGAATTAACCAGTTTGTCTTTTGCAAATCCTTTGGGACTCTGGAAAAAGGAGGAACTGATTTTGAAGAATGATATTTATTGTCCCAATTCCAACCCCGAGCTGGAAGCCCTAAGACTCTGTGGATTTGATAGTATGTTCCACTCTCTAGTTTTGACTGAAAATCATCTAAAGGAGAGAAGTCAGTCTGATCTACTTCAAAGATCTTGTGGCAGACAGATGCCTTTGTACACAGAAAGAAGACACTCATGGAAGATCTTAGCATTCATGGAGTTACTATTAATAGTATTGTCTGAAGTGGTGTGCAAGGTTCCTAGTCCTCACTGTGACTTTGATGAACCTCTTCCTATTCGGCATACTTATCATCAGCTTGGGGACATTAATATTGCTGGCATTATTTCTGCCTTCTTTACATTTTCAAATCCCATTGATTTCAGTCAACATCCTTTTCACGGATTTCAAGATGGAGTTGTGTATGTACATCATCAATTTATTGTCATGCTCTGGATATTGCAGTCAAACCATAGACAGGATGCTTCATCTACTGATTTTTTTTAAAAAAATAGGATACCTAGGTGTATTTTATATGGTTATATTTTAGTTTACTTTCCATGTAAAGTGAAAAAGAGACCAATTCTCCCCTTATAAGAAATCACATCTAAATATCTATATCTATCTATCTATCTATCTATATCTATCTGTATCTATCTATCTATCTATCTATCTATCTATCTATCTATCTATCTATATCTGTCTGCCTGCCTGCCTGCCTGCCTGCCTGCCTGCCTGCCTGCCTGCCTGCCTGCCTGCCTGCCTGCCTGCCTACCTACCTACCTACCTACCTATCTATCTATCTATCTATCTATCTATCTATCTATCTATCTAATGTATATTTTAATTTATGAAGATGCAACTACAACAAGAAAGGGGCAATTCAGCTATTTCCTTTTCAATACAAACCATTAAACATTGTGGTTGGATACTGAACATTTATCACATTTGCTTCCAGTTTCAGCCTACAGTATGTTTATTTTAAAAATAATCCTACATATATACATACATGTATGTATGTATGTATGTATGTATGTATGTATTAGTATTATGCTTTGCATTTTGCAAGTTGAATAGTGAGGATATAACACTAAAACACATTCCACAAAATGTGTCTTACTGAAGGGTTGGAAGTACCATAATTTGAAGCAGACATTTCCTCATCTATTTTTGTCTTTATTTATTTACAGAGTAGTTTTTCAGAATTACCAGCATATCCTGGCCTTAGTTTTTACTCTAAAAGAGATAAATGAAAATCCTCAGATTCTACCCAATGTCACACTGGGCTTCCAAATCTTTAATAGCAATTTTAGTCCAAGCTTGACTTACTTTGCCTCAATGCTTCTGCCTTTCACTCAGGGAAAATTCATCCCTAACTACAAGTGTGGGATCACAAATACTTTGGCTGCGGTCATTGGGGCACCTGACATCTCTCTTCACATGGCAGCTATATTGTGCATCTACAAATTTCCTCAGGTAAAGATGAGCTGAAGATATACCTAATTACTTTGTCGTACCTTCCCAGATGTCTATACTTTCTCTTTCTAAAAAGGAGAGACCTTTCAGATTCCTAGCTATTTTTATTTATTTATTTATTTATTTATTTATTTATTTATTTGTTTGTTTGTTTGTTTGTTTGTTTGTTTGTTTGTTTATTTATTTGCTTGCTTGCTTGCTTGCTAGGATCAGCATAGCAGCATGAATAACTGTAGTCTGAACAGACGGTGGAGATTGAAATGTGTTTGAATATGAGTAGTTCTGATTGGTAGTTAAGCTGTTGATTTGAGCTCCGTGTTTGGCAATTTGGTTGCAAACATTTCTTCACCATTTGAGGAGACATCCTCAGTCAGTGGTGGGTTGCTATCAGTTTGCCCCAGTTCTAGCAGCGGCAGTGGGAGGCTCCATTGATCCACCCGACATCATCAAATATGATCTGCACATGCATAGAAGCTTCTGCAAATGTGCAGAAGTGGCACACGCATGCGCAGAAAGGAGCACGTGCGCAAGCGAACCAGTAGCAAAGGTAAGTGAAACCCACCCCTGATCATCAGTGTGTTTTGAATTGTACACGTCTCTCAGAACACAGGTCTTTAAATACCTTTCTATGAGATGCAAATTAGTCCGAATGTTGTTTGTTCAGATATTTCTGAGTCATGCTCTGATTTCGGACTGTTTGATTGGCTGGCTGTTGTTGCTGGGCTGTAGTTAAATGCTGTCTGTGTGATGCAGATTAGGATTAGAGTTGTTATCTGGGTGCTTCTGGGTCATGGTCTCGTTTTGGCTTGTTTGAATGACTGGCTGTTGTTACTTAGACATGGTCCGATTTCTTGTGAGGCAATTTTGTGCTGTGTAGAAGGGTGCCTGTTTGTTTTAAATGCTCCCTTCAGGATTGTGGTTGATCTTTTGCTCTCAGCAATTGGTAGACGGGGTCAATGTCAATGTGTCTGTTTATTGACTTATTGGTAGAAAATCAGGCTTCAAGGAATTATCTTTCTCTCCTTGATTTCACCTGGGTTACAACTCTTAGAGGTCCCGGTTAGATCAAATTTGTGACTTTCTGAATCTTTGTGGATTGACATGAGGGATAGTGGATCATGTCTTTTGAGAGCATGGTGGAGATATCATGGTGGAGATATTTGGCACAGAAGAAGATACCCCAATTTCAAACACAATTAAATTTCAAATTTGAATAATTCATAATGAGACTATTTCCACAAAAAGGTATTTATGGATACCCTAAGAATGACATTTTAGGGTTTTTTAAATCAATTTTATTAATTTTCTATTAGTTACATTACTTAGTGCTTAATAAACATTGTGTTATCTGGATATTTAATTTGCTTAACAATACAAATGCCATTCTTACTCTCTATCCCTTTTTCCCAACCATTGTTAAAATAAATTCCAAGGTTGATAATATTCTGTGTCTTCTTTCTATTTGATTTTCAATGTAACTCTGTCCACTACTGCACAGTCTAATATCTTCTTAATTATCTCTTCCTCTTGAGGTGTTTCTTCATCTTTCCAATATTGTGCGAAGATAATCCTCACTGCTGTTAAAACATGTAATACTAAATCCATACTTCTCTTATCACGTTTTTAGGTTTTTTGGGTTTTTTTGGGTTGATATACAACTAGTTGCACAGTGTTTTACTCTATAAAAACAAGTATTCAAATATTCAAATGAGTGTATAGGATTTCAGAGGCTCACATAGACCTTTGCATTTACATATGTTTTTCTTTCTGTAGTTGACTTATGGTCCTGCTCCAGTCATGGATAAAGAGACTCAAGCAGTTTTCTTCCAACATATGTTTCCAGATGAATCCCACCAACCTAAGGGCCTCCTGCAGTTATTACTGTATTTTAGATGGATCTGGATTGGAATTCTTGTAGTAAAGGATGAGAAAGGAGAGAAATTTGTCCAGGAGGTGTTCCCTACATTTTCTGAGCATGGCATCTGCGTTGAATTCATAGCAGAATTACCAAATGTAGCTTTTTACAGTGACTTTATTGATACTATGGAGGAAGGATTACATATATTCCATGTTCTCATGAACAGCACAGCCAATGTGATAATCTTATATGGTAAAATTCAGTCCTTATCACTTCTGAGAACTTTCCTCCAGTTTTCAGAAGTGGAGGATATCCCAAGGAAGAAAAAGATTTGGCTTATAACTGCTCAGTCAGATTACACTTCAGTTGCTGTTCATAAATCTTTGGACATCCATTTCCTACATGGTGCTTTATCCTTTGCAGTTCACACAAAGGAGGTCCAAGACTTCCAGGAATTTCTTCAAAACCTAAATCCAAACAACAATAATCAAGATCACTTTCAGAAAGATTTCTGGGAACAGGCATTTGATTGCTTCTTTTTGAATTCAAAAATTGAGACATCTGAGAAGAAATGTACTGGATGGGAGAGGCTTGAGACCCTTCCTACATCTGTGTTTGAAACACGCATGAGTGGACAGAGTTACAATATTTACAATGCAGTCTATGCTGTTGCACATGCTTTGCAATCACTCACTCTATTCAAATCTAGAAAAATGACAATAGAGAAAGAAGGAAGAAAACAATTTCACAATCAAGTGTTGTGGCAGGTTAGTTGTAAGTAGAGTAGTGCAAAAACCATTAGATGTGTAGCTGGAACATCTACCCATAAACTCTACCATAGAATATTTTTAGGGATATTGATATTAGGTCTAAAATGAGAAGTAACAATGGATTAACTAATCAAAATAGTGATATGCTGATATTTTAATTATAAATGGCATTGTACAAAATTTTAACTAACATGCCTTAGTATATGCTTCTCTCCATGAAATTAACTGTCTGCCAAACCCAAAATCAAGAACAACACATAATGGTTCTTCTAAGTTGATTTCATATTGTTTTACAACTATAGATAAAATCTTGCCAATTTGAGCACTCTACTATCATATGACTCCAGTAAGTGAAATGATTCTGAGCCCGTCTAGGCCAACATAACTTAACAAAATAAGGGAACTTGGAAGTCTTCTAGTCCAACTCTCTTTATCACTTCAGACAAAGGGTTGTCCAATCTCTTCTTAAAAACTTCCAGTGTTGGAGCATTCACAACTTCTGATTAATTGTTGTAACTGTCAGGAAATTTCCCCTTAGTTCTAGGTTGCTTCTCTCCTTGATTAGTTTCCATCCATTACTTCTTGTCCTCTCTTCAGGTGCTTTGGAGAATTGGTTGACTCCCTCTTCTTTATGGCAACCCCTTAGATATTGGAACACTTCTTGGTATGCCTTATGATCATGTTTTTCTCTCTTTTCAATGTAAGATTATATATCTGAATATATAAGACAAGAATAAGAAAAAAATAATGTAACTGGAACAGTATGTCTTCCTATATCAATGTGTGGCATCTATACATAAATAGGCGCACTTATTCCTTTTCATTCAAATTTTCGTTATCTTGTTGCAATGTAACTGTAATAATTCAGATCAAACTTTAGCATAGCTGTAGCAAATATAAGAAGTAAATATAAGAAGTAAGACTGGTATTAAACATTTATAGCCTTATGCATCCTATTATTCCTTATATTTTTATTGGAACTCATCTAGTTTAAGTAGCTTTCACAATTAAATTACAAAGCATATTTTTTGCTCTTATTTTGCAATTCTGTGCTAATTTTATTTCAGTAATCTGATATTTTACATCTATTGATATCTTGTAATGATTGTTATTTGTTTGCTATTGGCTTAAAACTAAAAAAAAATTGAAGAGCCCATCCATACATATGTTTTGAACGTATGTTTTGAATTATTTTTGTTTCCCTCTATCCTGTTCTCTCTTTGTCGCTCTCTGTGTATTTCTGTATTTCAGGTTCATTCCTTTCTGAGAAATGTCAGATTCAACAACAATGTTGGTGAAATGATTTCCTTTGATAGAAATGGAGAATTCATTGGTGGTTATGATATTATCAACTGGATCACATTCCCAAACCAGTCTTTTTTTAGGGTCAAAGTTGGAGTGGTAGATCCCACAGCTCCAGCACACAAATTCTTCAATATTTCAGTAGATTCCATTACTTGGCCTGTAGGCTTTAATCAGGTTAGCTGTTTCAATCTAAACTGATCTGCTTTCATTTTTGCAAAAGAAAAAAGTTCCTTCATTGATAAAAACCCCAGAGCATCAACACTGCATAAAGTTAGTACTATGTAGCAATATCCGGTTGAAGTAAAACATTATCTGTAAGAATGTTTACTTTTCTAATAGTTGGTATAGAATAATATACCCTTCATTTTGGCCCTAGGTCAACTATGCACTATGATTTTCATGGTTTAGAAATAAAACCTGAAATTCAGTGTACTACATTTCATAAGTCTGTTGACTTCAAATTTAAGAATCTGAGAAAACCATCTTTAACTAACCAGCAAAGAAATTACATTTGGGGAGTGGTAATGATGGTTATGAAAGGCCATAGATACCAATAAAGGTAGATATTGAGTGAATTGTTTCAGACAAATTACATCTCAAAATAATGTCGTGATCACACTACTTCTCCTTATCAATCCATGATTATACATTAACAGTATCTCTCCAAACACTTCCTTTCTCCTCTATATCTTCAAATATTCTTCTTCATTCATTGATAGGCATTACCTCTATCTTTGTGTAATGATCCTTGTGAGACAGGACACAGCAAGTCCAAGAAAGAAGTGGAATCATTTTGCTGCTATGATTGCCATCTGTGTCCAGAGGGCAAAATATCAAAGGAGAAGGGTAGGAAATTTTGAAATATAATGGGACTAAACCATGAAAGTACAACACTGCCTATAATCATTGATATCAATTCCACTATGTTCTTTTTCAGACAAGGATGACTGCTCTCCATGTCCAGAAGATCAATATCCAAATCTTGGGAAAAATATCTGCATTCCAAAGCTGATCACTTTTTTGTCCTATGAAGAACCCTTAGGCATCAGTCTGACTGTTTTTTCTCTTTGTTTTTCTTTAATGACAACTTTGGTAATAATAATCTTCATGAAACATAAAAACACTGCCATCGTCAAAGCCAACAACCAGAATCTCACTTATATACTCCTAGTTTCCCTCCTCCTCTCTTTTCTTTGTGTGTTTCTATTTATTGGGAGACCTGATAAGATTGTGTGTCTCCTTCGACAACCAGCTTTTGGCCTCATCTTTTCTGTGGCGGTTTCTTGTGTTTTGGCCAAAACTTTTGTTGTGGTTCTAGCATTCATGGCCACCAAACCTGGTTCCAAATTGAGGAAATGGGTTGGGGGAAGAATGGTCAGTTTCATTCTTCTATCTTGCTCCCTTGTTCAAATATGTTTTTGTGCTGCATGGCTGATAACATCCCCACCATATCCAGATTTTGATATGAAGTCAATGTCTGAAGAAGTCATTCTGGAGTGCAATGAAGACTCAGTCATGTTCTACTGTGTTTTGGGCTTTATGGGTTTTCTTGCTCTGCTTAGCTTCTCTGCTGCTTTTCTAGCTAGGAAGTTACCTGACAGTTTCAATGAAGCCAAATTCATCACCTTCAGCATGTTGGTTTTCTGCAGTGTTTGGTTGTGTTTTATTCCAACCTATCTAAGCACAAGGGGAAAATATACATTGGCTGTGGAGATCTTCTCCATGGTCTCCTCCAGTGCTGGCTTATTGGTGTGTATCTTTCTTCCCAAGTGTTTTATCATTTTGATGAGACCTGAACTGAACAGTAAACATCAGCTCATGAAAAGGAAATTTTAACAAATCTCTCTGTTTGCCTGACATCATTTATATATACATATTGGAAATATTTGTCTATGTAAGTTTTCATGGGTATATATGTGTGTACAGTTAATATTTCGGGTTTCTTCCCGTGTAATTGTGAACATATCCCTAAAAGGGTAGAAGCGACGTTTCGACAGAATCTCATCTGCCATCATCAGGCTTATGTGAAGGGTCTTTTGCTGTAACTGCCGTTACTATTTCAAATCTGGTTCTGGTAGTCTGGGATGGCTCCACCTTTTTCATTCTGATTGGTTGAGAGTCTCAGTTTGTGTTTATTGGCTTGGCTTCGGGTGTATGGTCGGTTTTTCTCCACCAGGTGGCAGGGCTTCATCTTTGTGGCTGGCTGGAATGTGATTTGGCTGGAACTTGTGGCCATACAGGCCTTTTGATTAACACTTGATCTTTGTTTTATATTTTGTGTTAAGATTCGTCTATCTATGAGAGCAGGTTTCCAAATAGTAGGCAGACGTGAAGTGTCATCATGTTTATTCATGCAATATGGTCTTTTCTCTATTTCAATGGCCTCTCTGATTATTCTGCCATTGAGATGTTCTATTTTTGCAACTGTTTTTGTGTTATTAAAATTAATATTATGTCCTGTTGTATTTATGTGTTGAACTAATGATGATGTGTGCTCTTGCTTTTGTATTGAGTTTTTGTGTTCCTCGATGCACACACTCATTCTTCTGTTGGTCTGTCCAATGTATGTTGATGGGCAGGAAGCACACGGGATTTCGTATATGCCTTGATCTTCTAATTCTGTTTTGTCCTTAGGGTTTCTCAGAATGGACAATATCTTTCTATCTGTGCAAAATATGATTTTGATGTTGTGTCTATGCAGTACTTTGCTAATTTTATCTGTTGTTCCCCTTATATAGGGCAAGATGGCTTTCCCATTGTTTTGTTCCTCTTGTTGTTTTTTCTTCTGTCTAGGTGTTGCATGTTGGATCATACTGATGATTTTATTTCTACAGATATTGGAGATATTATCCACTTATACATTGAAGCCAGAAAGCAGTTAGACTGGCATTCTATGATTGCTACCCCTGATATTTGGATAGTATGAAACTCTTTTTCCTTTTGGAAGTGAGTTATAAATGGGGACCATAAAAATGTGCAGATAAATAAATAATAGGACAAATTGACATATTTCAGTATGTCATTGGCAATTCTGACTAAATATGTAGATTAAATATGAATTATATATTTATCTTTACTGGTCATCCTAATTTATCTGCAGACTAGAATGTGTAACAAGAAGTTGGGGTTAAAATACAAATGAGCGTTTCTTTTAAATAAAGAAATGTTACTGGGACACTGGGAATTCTCTAGTGCACATCATTTATTTATTTATTTATTTATTTATTTATTTATTTATTTATTTATTTGTTTGTCATATTTTTATGCCGCCCACTCTCCGAGGACTCTGGGCGGCTTAAACCAAAGACAGGATACTAAATAGCATATTGCCCCCAACAATCTGGGTCCTCATTTTACCCACCTCAGAAGGATGGAAGCTGAGTCAACCTTGAGCCGGTGAGATTTGATCTGCTGATCTGCTGAACTAGCAGTCAGTTGAAGTAGCTGCAGTAGTGCACTCTAACCACTGCGCCACCTCGGCTCATTTTCATCATGTGTAGTGGTCACTTACAAAACATGGAGTAAGAAAGATTTAACAGCTCTTTCCATTTGCCTGATATCCTTTATATGTAACTGTTTAAGAACTTCCCCACTTGGACATTTAACTCAGAGAGCAATGTACAGCTAGATTGGTATATTACATTCCTCTGGCTCCTGAGGCTTTAGATATCTCAGAACATTTTTCCTTTGAGAAAATGGAGACCAAAAAATGTATAAATGAACTAATGATCCTCACTCAGTCAAGGACTTAGGACCGTGTTGGCGAACCTATGGCATGCATGCCGGAAGTGGCATGCAGAACCATTTTTCCGGGCACATGAGCTGTCGCCAAGTTCACTTGAAACTGCGCATGCACATGCGCCACAGCTCATGTTCAGGCCTCTGATGCGCATGCATGCAATTCAAGGGACCCAGCTAGTCCGGAGCTCTCCTGCGCATGTGCATGTGTTTGTGCATGCACATGAGGTGACTGGTGCACAGTGTGCACATGCACAGAAAGCTGTGCACATGCGCACAAGGAGAGATTGTGCAGGCAGCGCGTGCTAGTGTGCATGTGTGAAAGCTGTGTGCATGCGCAGATGGTGCAGTTGCATGTGCAGCACATGAAGAGGAGCCACACATTACTGCAGATGGCACGTGAGCTCATGCAATGTACGCAGCGCATTCCTGTTCAGCACTCCGTAAGTAAAAGGTTTGCTACCACTGACCTAGGAGTACTAATTTCAAAAGATCTGAGCCCCAGAGCTTGCTGTAACAGCATTGTCAAAAAGGTATTAAGAGTTGTTAACCTAATTTTGCAAAGTTTCTTCTCCAGTAACATTGTATTGCAAACCAGGGCATACAAAACCTTTGCCAGACTAATTCTTGAATACAGCTCATCTGCCTGGAATCCATACTGTATAACAGGCATTAATACAATTGAGCGAGTCCAGAGGTATTTCACAAGAAGAGTACTCCACTTCTTTGCTCGCAATAGAATACCTTATGCCACCAGGCTTGAAGTTTTGGACCTGGACAACCTAGAACTATGCTGCCTATGGTGGTAAATAAAGTATATTAATGATTAGCATGACTTATGACTAATTCTGAGTTCAATTAGAGCCATACTGTATGTTAAGGACTTTAGTTAAGAATGTTATGGGAAGAGTCTACACTATAGGTCAAATGGTTGATTAGTGGAGAACTGATTTACTGTATTCCAGTTTTTAAGAGAGTTATAGTAAATCAACTGTATTTTGACTCCTATATCATTCAATTTTTAAATGAAAAATAAACTTTGAGTCTATACAAAAGCTGATTTTTTCTCTCTCTTCTGTGGCTAGTAAAGTAATCCTCACTTAGTCATATGCTTACCATGCTGTCATTTGTCTGGTTCCAAATGCAGTTTTCATAAATTAGCATCACATTGCATCATACTGTATGCCAATCTGAACAGTGGTGGGTTGCTCCCGGTTCGCACCGGTTCACAAGAACTGGTAGTAAAAATTTGTAGTAGTTCCGAGAACCGGTAATAACATTGGCTGGCCATGTCCCTGAACCGGTCCCCAGCCCAGTCGCCGCTCTCTTACCCCACCCACCTCATCAGAGGCTTTTTTTTTTTACTTCTAAAAGCATTTTTTCTACAACCTCTTCGGTCAAAAAAATGCTTTTAAAAGTTTTTTAAAAAAGACTCTGATGATCCCGCGGCTCAACTGGGAACATCAGAGGCTTTTCAAAGCATTTTTTCTACAACCTCTTCAGCCGAAGAGGTAGTAAAAAAAATGCTTTGAAAAGCCTCTGACAATTTCAGCTGAGTTGCCTGATCGGCAGAGACTTTTCAAAGCACTGTTTTCTGCAACCTCTTCAGCTGAAGAGGTGGTAAAAAAAAATGCTTTGAAAAGCCTCTGACGATCCCAGCTGAGTTGCCTGATCGGCAGAGGCTTTTCAAAGCATTGTTTTCTGCAACCTCTTAAGGTTGTAGAAAAAATGCTTTGAAAAGAAAAAAAAGTGGCCATACCCACCCAGTCACATTGCCCCCACCAAGCCACACCCGCAAAATAAGCCACACCCACAGAACTGATAGTAAAAAAATTTAGAACCCACCCCTGAATCTGAAACAGTAGAAAGTGGTTGTCAACCATACGACAACCAAGAAGTTCAATAAAACTATCCATTTCTGGAAGAATGCATGAATCTAATTGGAATGGAATGGAGTAGGGAGTGGATAATAGGTATGGGATAGTGATAATAGAATAGAGTAGAGTAGAGTAGAGTAGAGTAGAGTAGAGTAGAGTAGAGTAGAGTAGAGCAGAGTACAGGAAAGTACAGGAGAGTAGAAGAATAGAATAGAATAGAATAGAATAGAATAGAATAGAATAGAATAGAATAGAATAGAATAGAATAGAATAGAATAAATCTATAGTAGTTTTAATCAATGAGAGTAGAGTAGAGCAGAGCAGAGTAGAGTGTATTTACAGAAACTATGTCAATGCCTGTACCTATGCCTATATTTTCATCTCTATTTTGGTTTATAGATCTCAAGATTTTATTTTATTTTTCTTGTGACTAATTCCTTCTTTCCTCAGGAGGCCCTCAGATGTTTTGAAGATATTCACATATGTCTCACTATTATTATGGAATTAGTTTGTTTATCTCTTCCAAATCCTATGGGTCTCTATGGAAAAAGGAGGAACTGACCCTGAAGGATATTATTTATTGTCTCCATGATATTCCATCCTATGGATGGAAGCCTCAAAGCTTTATCGGTTGATTTGATAGTATGTTGCTCTCTTTAGTTTTGTCTGAAAAATATCTCAAGAAGACAGGTCAATCTGATCTACTTCAAAGATCTTGTTGCAGACAGAGGCATTTTTATATAGAAAGAAAACACTCATGGAAGATGTTAGCATTCATGGAGGTACTGTTGATGGTATTGCCTCAAGTGGTGTGTAAGCATCATAGATTTCAATGTGACTTTAATGAGCCTCTTCCTATTCATCACACATATCATCAACTTGGAGAGATTAATATTGCTGCCATAGTTTCTGTATTCTTTACATTTTCTAAACCCATTGATTTCAGTCAACATCCTTCTCAGGGATTTCATGATGGACTTATGTAAGTACATTAACAATTCGTTGCAATTATTCAGGATACTGCTTATAAACACTGCATGCTTAGAGTTCAAGGCGTTGTTAGAGACCTTACACACCCACTTTACGGTCTGTTTCTGTTGCTCCCCTCTAGGAGGAGGTTTCAGAGTATTTCTAGCAGGGTTACCAGATTCTGTAACAGCTTCATTCCCTATCCATCCATCTGGTAAACTTGCAAGATTTGTTTTTCTCGCCATGTACATGTATACATTCAAACTAGACTGTGTTGTTTCTCTGTGTCATATAATATATGTGGATATATGTATAATTTTGTATTTATTTATTTATTTATTTTGTCATATTTATGTAGTTCATATTGGAGGTGGTGATTCTTTACAGCTGTGCAATGGAATTTTATTTTAATGTATGCTGATTAGTGTACATTCAAAGTGATAATAGTTATTATTCTGTTTTGTTCTGTTGTATTCTACTTTGTTCTGTTCTGTTCCATTACATTCTGTTCTATTAAATCACATGATGCTTAAAATATTGTCCTATAATGACAAAAGCTTCAAAAACAAACAACTTAAACAGGATACTAGATTTGTTTTATGTGAAGTTATTATTTTATTTCAGTTTCCATGTAAAGCTGAAAGAGGGACCAAATCTACATTTATAACAAATCCCATCTAAGTATCTATAAATATAAAGGAATATATGTCTTAATTTATGAAGATGTAACTACCATTAAGATATTTGCGAGGGGGGGCACACATTTCCCACAATAACATTTATTAATATTTGATATTTCTGGTACATGAATTTAGCAATTTCCCTCTGGATATAAGCCATACTTAAAACTGGAATTGGATACTATACCTTTCCCACATATTAAGAAACAATGCTTCCAATTTCAATCTAGTGTTTGGTTTTTTATTACAAATAACTCTAGTTATTCAAGGGATATATAGGTTTAGGTATTTTGCTTTGCATTTTCCAGGATCTGAGATGAATAATAAAAATATTGTGTTCAAACACATTCCACAAAATATGCACTTAAGTGCAAAATCTTTGCACTTAAAGATTGTAAGTGCCATATTAAGAGGCAGACCTGTATTATTCCATTTTTCCGTTGTTTTTTTTCTACAGAGTATTTTTTCAGAATTACCAGCATATCCTGGCCTTAGTGTTTACTGTAAAACAAATTAATGAAAACTCCCAGATTCTACCCAATGTCACGCTGGGCTTCCACATTTTTAACAGCCATTTTAGTCCAAGCTGGACTTACTTTGCCTCAATGTTGCTGCCTTTCACTCAGGGTATATTCATCCCTAACTACAAGTGTGGGATCACAAATACCTTGGCTGCAGTCATTGGTACACCTGACATCTCTCTTCACATGGCAACTGTATTGGACATCTACAAATTTCCTCAGGTAAGATGTGCTGAAGATATACATTATCATTTTGCCATATCTCCCCCGACATTTGTATTCTCCTTTCTGTAAAAAGGAGAACTCTTTTAGATTCCTAGATATTATTTTCTGCTTGATTAGCACCATGAATAATTGTCATTCTGATCAGATAGTGGGGATATTTGACACAGAAAAACATTCTCCAATTCTCCAGATTTGAAATATTCACGATGACACTGCTTATAGGAAAAGGTATTTACTGATACCTTAAGAGTGACATTTTGGTTGATATTTCCAAATAAATACAACTATATGTTTTGTTCGCTCAAACACACTCAAAGACTCAAATGAATATTCACATTCTCAGAGGCTCTGATAGACCTTTGGAACTGCATGTATTTATCTTTCTGTAGTTGACCTATGGTCCTGCTCCAGTCATGGATAAAGAGAATCAAGCTGTTTTCTTCCTACAAATGTTTCCAGATGAATCCCACCAACATAAGGGCCTCTTGCAGCTATTGCTATATTTTAGATGGATCTGGATTGGAATTCTTGTCGTAAAGGATGAGAAAGGAGAAAAATTTGTCCAGGAAGTACTCCCCACTTTTTCTGAGCATGGCGTCTGCACTGAATTCGTAGCAGAGTTCCCAAATGTAGCTTTTTACAGTGATTTTACTGACACCATAGATGAAGGGCTACATATATACCATGTTCTCATGAATAGCACAGCCAATGTGGTAATTTTATATGGTGAAATTCAGTCCATGTCAGTTATGAGAAGTTTCCTCCAGTTCTCAGAAGTGGAGGATGTACCAAAGAAGAATAAGATCTGGCTTATAACAGCTCAGACAGATTACACTTCAATTTCCTTTCAAAAATCTTGGGATATCCATTTCCTACATGGTGCTTTGTCCTTTGCAGTTCACACAAAGGAGGTCCAAGACTTCCAGGAATTTCTTGAGAACTTAAGTCCAAACAACAACCAACATGATCGTTTTCGGAAAGATTTCTGGGAACAGGCATTTGATTGTTTCTTCTCAAACTCAAAAACTGAGACCTCTGAGAAGAAATGTACTGGACAGGAGAGGCTTGAGACCCTTCCCACATCTGTGTTTGAGACACACATGAATGGCCAAAGTTATAATATTTACAATGCAGTCCATGTTGTAGCACATGCTTTGCAATCTTTGTATTTATCCAAATCGAGGGAAAAAATAATAAAGAAGGAAGGAAGGAAACAGTTTCACAATCAAGTATGGTGGCAAGTAAGTCTTCTCCTAGATGCTTTCTTTGGAATAGTTGCATTTAGTCAGACATAGTTCTTTGATTGATGACAGTACAATGACGTTTACATTTATTAGCCTTTCCTGATGAGGATCTTCCCATACAATCCATGTGTAGAAGAAGAAAGACTGATAATTATATTGTGACATGATCACTCAAAAAAGATTCAGAATATTGTAATGTTCCCTTTTCATCTGGCATATAGTTCCCATGTTTTAATAGAACCTTTTGGAGGCACTTGCATTTCTACACACAGATATTCACAACAACACCTACATAGTTTTAGAGCAAATGAATAGAGAAGAATGAGAAGAGCCTTATATGCTTCCAGGAATGTGGCTTTAGGAGCAGAAGGGAAGGGATTGAAGGTGTTTTTAACATCTCAGGCACTTAACAAAAGATAACCAAGGCAGCCATGGGATGAAACAATATCTCACAATATCTCATAAAATGTGGGCTACCTTGATCCTCTTTTATTAAGGGATGAAAGAATCATAGATTTCAAATGGACATTTAAGCCATCAAATCCAGCCCCCACTTACTACACTATTTCAAGTGTGGCTCCAGCAGATGTTGATTCAGCCTCTTCTTGAACACATCCAATTGATCATCAGTTCCCTTCTTTTATCTTGTTATTATCTTGTTTCTAGTTTGTTGGATTGTAACTGCAATAATTCAAATCAAACTTTAGCATGCTACAGTAAGCATAAAGCAGGGGTGGGTTCTAAATTTTTTTACTACCGGTTCTGTGGGCATGGCTTATTTTGTGGGCATGGCTTGATGGTCATGTGACAATTATTTAGGATTTAGCAGAGGTACTGGTCTACCAGGCTTTTAACTGCTTGCAGAGCTGTACCGATCTACCCATTTATTTTTGCAGGCACTGATCTACTCATGTATTTTTGCAGGCACTGATCTACTCATGTATTTTTGCTGGCACCAGTCTACCCATTTATTTTTGCAGGCACCGGTCTACTCATTTGTTTTCTTTTAACACTGATCAGCTGTAGGGCAGCCCTTTGAAGCCCCGTGGCAAGAGTTTAAACAGTTTTTTTCCCTCTAGCCAATCAGCTGGGACTCAGGAGGCAGCAATAGATTGGGGGTGGGGCCAAATAAAAGGTAAGAATAGCGCGGGGGGTGGGGGGGCAGGGGGCACGGGGTGGTGGGAGTGGGGGACAGGGGGCAGAACCGGTCATATCGTCACTACTACCGGCTCTGCGGAACTGGGCCGAACCGGGAGGAACCCACCACTGGTATAAGGTTATTTAGGAGTAGCAAGAGTATTAAACTTTTGTAGCCTTATGTCTCCTTGTATTTCTTATATATTTATCAGAAGTTATCTAGTTTTAGTAGCTTTCATAATTAAACTACAAAGTGTAAATTTTCTTTTGTTTTTTTATTTTGCAATTTATTTCAGTAATCTGATATTTTACATCTAATGCTATTTTGGAATACCTGTTATATTATTTGTTTGGTATTGGCCTACAGCTAAAAAAAAAACCTATATATTTTCTCTCTTTAAAGAGGCATCCATAAATATATTTTGAACATATGAATTATTTCTCCCACCCTTTGTCCTTTTCTCTCTTGTATTACTATATTTCAGGTTCATTCCTTTCTGAGAAATGTCAGATTCAACAACAGTGTTGGTGAAAAGATCTCCTTTGATAAAAATGGAGAATTCATTGGTGGATATGATATTATTAACTGGATCACATTTCCAAACCAATCTTTTCTTAGGGTCAAAGTTGGAATGGTAGATCCCACAGCTCCAGCAGACAAGTTCTTCAATATTTCTGTAGATTCCATCACATGGCCAGTAGGCTTTAACCAGGTTAGCTGTTTGAATCTAGATTGGTCTATTTCAATATTATAAATATATATAAGTATATCTCAGTACTATAAAATATGATTAATAATGAAAGTCTCATAGCATCATCTCTGAATAATGTTTTTCCTAAGTAGAAATGTCCTCGAGAAGGGAAACAGTATCTCTAAAAATGTTTACTTTTCTAATAGTTAGTATGATTTTGGCTCTCTGTTAATTATGGACAATATTTTCATGTTTTAGTAAAAGCTGAAGTCCAATATACATACTACATTTCCTCAGTCTGTTGATTTCAAATTCAAAAGATGAGGAAAAAAAATCTATAACTAACCACTACAGAAATTATCTTTGGACAGTGAGGCTTATAGTTATGAAAAGTCATAGATACTGATAAAGATAGATATTTAATGAATTATTATTTCAGACCAATTCCATCTTAAAATGATGAAAGTCCCAAAGCATCATCTCTGAATAGACTAAGTACAAATGTCCTCAGGACAGGGGAAAAAATTATCTGAAATTGGTATAGAATATTTACTTTGTCCCTCTGATAACTATGGACAATGTTTTTCATGATTTTGAAGTAAAAGCTGCAAGCAAGTGTACTGGATTTCATCAGTCTGGACATATCAAAATTCAGAGCCTGAGAAAATCACCTAACCAGCACAGAAATGGTCTTTGGAGAGTGAGGATGACAGTTATGAAAGGCCATAGGTGCCAATAAAGATAGATATTTAATGAATTATTATTTCAGATAGAGTCCATGTCATAATAATGAAAGTCCCAGAGCATCATCTCTGACTAGTACAAATATCCTCAGGAAGGCAAAATAAATAAATAAATAAATCTGTATTTGGTATAGAATCCTTACGTTGGCCCTCTGTTAATTATGGACAATAAAGATAGATACTTAATGAATTATAATTTCAGACCAATTCCATATCAAAATGATGTCAATACACCACTACTGCTTATTAATCCATTTATGTTCTGTTGATTCCACGGTAACAGTATCTCTCCAAGCACTTCCTTTCCCCTCTGTATCTTAAAATATTCTTCTTCATTCATTGATAGGCATTACCTCTATCTTTGTGTAATGATCCTTGTGAGACAGGATACAGCAAGGCCAAGAAAGAAGGAGAGTTGTTTTGCTGCTATGATTGCTGTTTATGTCCAGAAGGGAAAATATCAAAGGAGAAGGGTACGAAATTTCCAAATTTAATGGGATTAAGTCGCATTATACCCTAAGTATATAAACTGTCTACAATCAATTGTATCAATTCCACTGTGTTCTTTTTCAGACAAGGATGACTGCTCTCCATGTCCAGAAGATCAATATCCAAATCCTGACAAAAATATGTGCATTCCAAAGCGGATCACTTTTTTGTCCTATGAAGAACCCTTAGGAATCAGTCTGACTGTTCTTTCTCATTGCTTTGTTTTAATGACAATTTTGGTAATAATAATCTTCATGAAACACAAAGACACTCCCATCGTCAAAGCCAACAACAGGAATCTCACCTACACTCTCTTAGTTTTCCTCCTCTTCTCTTTCCTTTGTGTGTTTCTATTTGTTGGGAGACCTGATAAGATTATATGTCTCCTACGACAACCAGCTTTTGGCCTCATCTTTTCTGTGGCAGTTTCTTGTGTTTTGGCCAAAACCTTTGTTGTGGTTTTAGCATTCATGGCCACCAAACCTGGTTCCAAATTGAGGAAATGGGTTGGGGGAAGAATGGTCAGTTTCATTCTTCTATCCTGCTCCCTTGTTCAAATATCTTTTTCTGCTGCATGGCTGATAATGTCCCCACCATACCCAGATTTTGATATGAAGTCAATGTCTGAAGAAGTCATCATGGAGTGCAAAGAAGACTCGGTCATGTTCTACTGTGTTTTGGGCTTTATGGGTTTTCTTGCTCTGCTTAGCTTCTCTGCTGCTTTTCTCTCTAGGAATTTACCTGATAGTTTCAATGAAGCCAAATTCATCACCTTTAGCATGTTGGTCTTCTGCAGTGTTTGGCTGTGTTTTATTCCAACTTACCTAAGCACAAGGGGAAAATATATGTTGGCTGTGGAGATCTTTTCCATGGTCTCCTCCAGTGCTGGCTTATTGGTGTGCATCTTTCTTCCCAAGTGTTTTATCATTGTGATGAGACCTGAACTGAACAATAAACATCAGCTCATGAAAAGAAAGTTTTAAAAAAGATATTCTTTATTTGTCCATGTCCTGATTTTCCCCATTTGCACCTTTAAGCCAGAGAACAATCTGCAGTTTGATCGGCCTTCTATATTCCAATACCTAACCATATATATATATTAGCCATACCCTTACTTGGATTCGAACTTGGGCTGCCTGCATGTTAGGCAGTTGTATTAACCTCTCAACCACAAGTTCCTTATCAGCAAAATATAAATTTGGTATAAAATGGTTTGTCGTGAATGCGACTGCTTGAGGGCTCCTGGATTGGAGCTGAAAGGCAAAAGGGATGCAGTATGCTCCCTCCCACATGCTGGGGTAGACCAGGTGCCTCGATAGAAAAACGTATATGTATATGTATATGTATATGTATATGTATATGTATATGTATATATATATATATATATATATATATATATATTTTCTTTTTTCATAGGCTTTTATGTGCATATTCTCTCTAGCCAGGTTTTACCTATGTAAACTTAGTTGTTCTTCAGCCCTAGGTTCTGTGAAATCTCATTCACAAGTTCTTGGGCCCTTTTTCTGCTGACAAACTGCAACTCTGTGGAGTAAGAAAATAGATATTGTACCTTTACAGGGAGGATACATGAGATGTGGGTGTGGCTTACTGATGATGGCTAATGATCCAGAAATAGATCTATATAAGTCTCTCACCTGGTAGCAAGAACTTGCTGGCTGCCAGAAAGAAAAAAGCCCAGAAACGAGTGGATGTGATTCCACTGAGCTAGGGCTGCAGAAAAACCTTGGTTACGTAGGAAAAACCTGGCTAGAGGAAAAACATACACACACACACACACACACACACACACACACACACACACACACACACACACACACATATATATATATATATATATATATATATATATATATATATATATATATATATATATAAAATTAAAAATGATGTAAGGATTTTTAGAAGATTTTAAGCTGGGATTTTAACCAGGATTTTAAATATTTTAACCAACTTATTTACAATGACGCGGGAAAACACCCGAGATTTTATTTTTTTGCATACACACACACATACACACAAAATATGATTTTTGTGATATTTCAGTATGTGACTCAATATATACATTAAATGTGAATTATACATTTGTCTTTAGTGGTCATCTAAATTTATAGGCACATTTAAATGTGTAAAAAGAAGTGGGGATTAAATACAAATGAACCTTTCATTTAAACAATAAAGGCCTGTTAATTGTTTCTAAAGCAATCAGATAGTGGGAAATCTCTGATACACATCATGGATACTGGTCACCTACAAAACATGGGGTAAAATCAAAAGTGTTCCAGCTGGGTCTTAGACAACTTGCCACAGCCAACTCGCCAAGGGACAAAAGTTACCTAATATCAAAGAAACAATGGAATATAATCATTAAAGAAAGGATGCAAAAGGAGGGACGAAATAAAATATGAATGACATAAATTAAAATATTTTTGAAATTATTTTCAAAAATTAAATAAAATTATTGAATTATCCTTCAGCGAGTTGGCCATGGAGAGCTGGCCACAGCGAGTTGACAATGGTGAGTTGGAAGCAATGAGTTGGCTGTGGCAAGTCGGTTATGGCGAGTTGTCCCATTCCTCTTCCAACTGGCCATATATTTTGTCTTCAGTGAAATCTCTAGCACAAAAATAATTCTAGTAAATTCCATCAGAAATCCAATACAAGCTTTTATCCAATTTACATAATGATTTCTTTCTAGGAAATTCATTTGAGTATAATAATTGTGTAAACAGTATGCTCCATTGTTATAAGTCTGCTTTAGTAGATAGAGTGTTGCAGTACTTGTATGAGACACATATGGTAATTCTAAATGCCAACTGATGAGCCATCTGAATGAGCCTTGGTTGGAATTTGCAGAGAACTTGGAACCTGGTTAACTGAGGAACCATCTCATCCCAAAGGGATTAGGCCAGCCAAGCCATGGTGGCAGAAGAGGCATGCTGGGTATCCTGTCAGACAAGGAATTCCAGTTTGGTGGGGTTCAGGAGAAGAGCATTTTCTGCCAAGGTGCCCATCCCCTTGAAACGTGTGTCTCCCAAAATAAGATCAACACCCACCATTTTGGTCTTCTGAAATTAAGGCTGTTGAATAACAGCCTGCCCCAATGGGAAGGTGGCATCTTGGAGATGGTCAATGGATTAAACAGAACCAATCTCCTCTCCATGTGCGCTTCACTCCCATCTTCTCCATTTTGATTATTGAATTTTAATTCAGTTAAAATGGAATTTTAATTAAATGTTAAATTAATAGTCCACATTTAAACTTTAATATTTTATATATTTAATTGAATGATTGTAAACTACCTTGAGGGATGTGGTGGCTCAGTGGCTAAGATGCTGAACTTGTCGATCGAAAAGTCGGCAGTTCAGCGGTTCGAATTCCTAGTGGTCTGTAATGGGGTGAGCTCCTGTTACTTGTCCCAGCTTCTGCCAACCTAGCAGTTTGAAAGCATGTAAAAAGTGCAAGTAGAAAAAATAGGGACCACCTTTGGTGAGAAGGTAACAGTGTTCCATACATCTTTGGCATTGAGTCATGCCAGCCACATGACACGGAGACGTCTTCGGACAGTGCTGGCTCTTCGGCTTTGAAACGGAGATGAGCACCGCTCCCTAGAGTCAGGAAAGACTAGCACATATGTGCAAGGGGAATCTTTAACTTTACCTTTTTAAACTACTTAGTCCCAAATGTGTTTTTGTTGCCTGTTGAAAAAGCACCATGACCTGGATGACTGAGAATCTCCATAGGTGTGTAGGCTATTTAGATTTCTATGTTGCAAGATGAGCAGCATAAAAGTTAAATGAATAATTCTTTCTTGGGGCTACAGCAGCAGAGATAGGATATAGAGCTCTATGGAAAATATCAAGTGTTTTATTGACCGAAATGAGATGCAAATATATAGAAGCTACAACGTTTGCTGCTAATCTGTAACTTTTTCCCAGTGCTTCCTTTTGTAAGTGTGATGCTAGGGAAGCTTGTGATGAGTCTGGAGTTCCAGAGCCATTTGATGAACCAGAAGCTTTCCGTGTAGTCAAGATTTTGCTAAATGAAGGGGATCATATTGGCTATTTAGAGAAAGACAAGTCCATTACTGACTTGCGGTTCCATGGTCTTATATAATTAATCTTCCATTGTTTAGAAATCTATCTATCTATCTATCTATCTATCTATCTATCTATCTATCTATCTATCTATCTATCTATCTATCTATCTATCTATCTATCTATCTATCTATCTATCTATCTATCTATCTATCTATCTATCTATCTATCTATCTATCTAACTACCCACCCACCCACCCACCCACCCACCCACCCACCCTATCATATCTATCTATCTATCTCTATCTATCTATCTATCTATCTATCTATCTATCTATCTACACACTGTATTTACATCTCTATTTTGATTTATGGATCTAATAATTATATTTTTATCTTGCAACACATAGGTTCCTGCCTCTGGAGGCTCTCATGTTTTGAAGTTGTTCACATATGTGATTGTCTCACTATCATTAAGAAATTAGTCAGTTTGTCTCTTCTGAATCCTATGGCACTGCATGAAAATAGGAGGAACTGACACCGAATTATAGTATTTATTGTCCCCATCCTATTCCAACCCATGGCTGGGAGCCCCAAAGCTCTGTGAGTTGATTTGATAGTATGCTGCACTCTCTAGTTTTGTCTGAAAAACATCTCCAGAAAGCAGATCAGTCTGATCTACTTCAAAAATCTTGTAGCAGACAAAGGTATTTCTACACAGAAAGAAGACACTCATGGAAGATGTTAGCATTCATGGAAATACTGTTAGTAGTATTGCTTACTACACATTGCGTACTACAATGTGACTTTCAGGAGCCTCTTCCTATTCGTCACACCTATCATCAGCTTGGAGACATTAATATTGCTGGCATTATATCTGTCTTCTTTGCATCTTCTAATCCCATTAATTTCATTCAAGAGCCTTCTCAGGGATTTCAAGATGGAGTTATGTAAGTATATCATCAATTTATTGTCAAGGTCTGAACCTTGATAGTAAATCACATGGTTCTTGAAATATTTTCCTCTAATGGCAAAAACTCCTGATAGAAACTTCTAAAATAGGATGCCTAGGTTTATTTTATCTGATGTTATATTTTACTTCAGTTTCCAGGTAAAGTTGAAATGGAGATCAAATCTCCATATATAAGAAATCACATCTAAATATCTATTAATATAGAGGTATGTATGGCTTAATTTATGCAATTGTTACTACTATTAAGGAAGGGAAAGCACATATTTCCCATGATAAGTTTTTCATTTGACATTTCAGGTACCAAAATGTAGCAATTTTTTTTTTTTTTGCACATAAATCATGCTTAAAAGCTGTGGTTTGATAGTGGGCTATTCTCACATATAAGAACATAGAAATAAGAATTATTAAACACATTCCACAAAATATGCTATACTGAACTATTGCAAGGCACATAATGTAAAACAGGCCTTTCTTACTGTGTTGTTTTTAATTTTGTTTTACAGAATAGTTTTTCAGAATTACCAGCATACCCTGGCCTTAGCATTTACTATAAAACAGATTAATGAAAATCCCCAGATCCTACCCAACATCACTCTGGGCTTCCACATTTTTAACAGCAATTTTAGTCCAAGCTGGACTTACTTTGCCTCAATGCTTCTGCCTTTCACTCAGGGCAAATTCATCCCTAACTACAAGTGTGGAGTCCCAAAAATCTTGTCTGCAGTCATTGGGGCATCTGGCATTTCTCTTCACATGGCAACCTTATTGTGCATCTACAAAGTACCTCAGGTAAGATGTACTGAAGATAGACATTATCATTTTGCCATACCTCCTCAGACATCTATATGCTTCTCTTTATAAAAAGGAGAGACCGTTTAGATAAGTAGATATCATTTTTTTTTTTTGCTTGATTGGATCAGAATAGCCGTATGAACATTTGTAATTCTGAACTGACAATGGGGATATTTGGCACAGCAAAACATGCCCCAATTCCAGACATTGAACTAAGGTTCAAGTTTGAAATATTCACAATGAGACTACTTCCAGGAATATACCTGGAATATTTCTGATACCTCAAGATTGAATCTTGATTGATATTTGCTAATAAACACAACTAGTTGCATAATTTCAGTGTATAAGGTCAAAGACACCAAACTGAAATGAATATATACGTTTTCAGAGGCTCACAAAGAACTTTGCAATTGCATATGTTTATCTTTCTGTAGTTGACCTATGGCTCTGCTCCAATCATGGATAAAGAGACTCAAGCTGTTTTCTTCCAACAAATGTTTCCGAATGAATCCCACCAACGTAAGGGCCTCCTGCAGTTATTGCTGTATTTCAGATGGATCTGGATTGGAATTCTTGTAGTAAAGGATGAGAAAGGAGAGAAATTTGTCCAGGAGATACTCCCCACATTTTCTGAGTATGGCATCTGCATTGAATTCATAGCAGAATTATCAAATGTAGCTTTTTACAGTGATTTTACTGATACCATAGATGAAGGATTACACATATACCATGTTCTCATGAACAGCACAGCCAATGTGATAATCTTATATGGTGAAATTCAGTCCTTATCACTTCTGAGAACTTTCCTCCAGTTTTCAGAAGTGGAGGATATACCAAGGAAGAATAAGATCTGGCTTATAAATGCTCAAACAGATTACACTTCAGTTGCCGTTCATAAATCTTTGGATATCCATTTTCTGCATGGTGCTTTATCCTTTGCCGTTCACACAAAGGAGATCCAAAACTTCCAGGAATTTCTTCAAAATCTAAATCCAACCAACAATCAGAATGATCATTTTCGGAAAGTGTTCTGGGAGCAGGCATTCGGTTGTTTCTTCCCAAACTCAAAAATGGAGGCGTCTGAGAAAAAGTGCACTGGACAGGAGAAACTTGAAACCCTTCCTACATCTGTGTTTGAAACACGCATGAGTAGCCAGAGTTACAATATTTACAATGCAGTCTATGCTGTGGCACATGCTTTGCAATCTCTCTATATATCAAAATCTAGAGAATCAACAATGATGAAAGAAAGAAAGAAACATTTTCACAATCAAATATGGTGGCAGGTAAGTCTGTTAGCAGAGTAGTGCAGAAACCACCATATCTGTAGTTGCAACATGTGTCCATAAACTCTAGCAAACAATATTCTCCAGGGATATTGAAGTCTGAGAATTCAAAAGTGAGATTTAACTAATCAAAACATTCATATGCTGATATTAAAATTGTAAGTGGCTTTTTAAAAAATTCCTTAGAATATGCTTCTCTCAATAAAATTAACTTAACACTTAAACTTATATACCACTTCACAATGTTTTACAGCCCTCTCTAAGAAGTTTACAGAGTCAGCATATTGCATATTGCCCCCAACAATCCAGGTCCTCATATATCAAACCTTAGAATGGTAGAATGGAAGGCTGAGTCACCCTTGAGCCAGTGAGAATAGAACTGCTGAACTGCAGGAAGCTGGCAGGCAGCAGAAGTAGCCTGCAATACTACATTCTAACCACTGTGCCACCACAGTTCATGTTCCCTTTCTATGAGACATAGGGTTCTGACCTCTTCATAGATCATTTCTACACCCAGATATTCTCAACAACAGATGCATAGTTTTAGAGCAAATGGATGGAGAAGAATGAGAGCCACCTTATATGCTTCTAAGAATAAGGCTCTGAGAGAAGAAGGGAAGGAAGGAGTTTTTAATATCTCAGGGCACTTAATAAAAGACGACCAAAATGGGATGTTATTTTGAGCCTAATTTTTCTGAAACATATGAAATGAACTCCAATGGGATGAAACAATAATAGACTTCAAATGATGGACATGTAAGCCATCAAATTCAGCATCTACTTAATGCAGGATTTCAAATTCCAGCAGCTCCTGTAGGTATTGATTCTGGCTCTACTTTAATGCATCCAATAAAAGAAATGTCATTGTCCTTCGGTCCTCAATTCCCATTTCCTAACTTCTTCTACTGAGACTTTATTTCTTAGGTAGAATATACCTAATTTACCTTTAGGAAAATAATTTCCTAAAATAAATTTTAGATTTTACTTTCTAAAAGTATCTATCTTCCATTATATGCCATTATTACTGGCAGCCCTTACTTAATGATGGTCATTGGGACCTGAATTTCCATTGCTAAGTGATGCAGTTAGAAGTTGTGACATCACTTGACCAGTGATGGGATTCAAAAATTTTTACTACTGGTTCTGTGGGCGTGGCTTGGTGCGCGTGGCAGGGCCAGTCAGAGGCGGTATTCACTGGTTCTCTGAACTACTCAAAATTTCCACTACCAGTTCTCCAGAACTGTCAGAAACGGCTGAATACCACCTCTGCACTTGACTAATTACTGACTTCCAGGATTATGATCATACGAGCTCAATAAGGAAGTCATAAGTACCGCTTGTTCCACACTGTTGCAATTTCAGATGATTGCTGAACAAGCAGTTATTAAATAATGAACTCCTGTATTCAGTCGCTAAGTCCTGTTGGAGTCTTGCAACCGCATGAACCCTAGCACGCTGGACCCCCCTATCCTCCACTGTCTTCCAGAATTAAAGTTCCTTGTGCTGATGACATTATCTAACCATCTCATCCAATATTTAGTTGAAAAAAAGACACTGAAATTGATTTAAAAATTGAAAAAAGAATTGAAAAACTGAAAAAAAATGAAAATAATTTTTTTTCTTTAAAAAAAAGGAAATACAGAGATTTTTTAAAAAATTAGAATTTACAAGTGTTTTTGGCCCTTTTTGAAGTAATATGCACTTCTTTTTTGTTGGAAAACTCAAGCAGTTTTCTAGGAAATACTTTCTTCTTAACCCTCTACTCCCTGCCTTGAAAGTTTATCCCTTTCCTCCCTGTTCACAAGTGTTATCCTTATCCTTTTCCCCCTGCTTACTTGCCCTTCAGTTGCCTAGCCACTTCCAGGGTTTTTAGGTATGATGTGCTGATGTGGACACTCTCTGCTTAGCTGGGTTGAGCAATTTGATCTGTGTGTACTCCAAGGGACTCTCAAATGTCTTCTCCAGCACTGCAAATTGAAAGCATCAATTCTTCACTGCACAGCCTTATGCTCCAGCTCTCACAGTTGTACTTTACTACTGGGAAAACAATAGATATACAGACCTTTGTTGACAAAGTGATGTCTCTGCTTTTTAATATGCTGTCTAAGTTTGCTTTAGCTTTGCTCCCACGGAGCAAGCATCTTTTAATTTCATGGCTGCAATCAGTATCTGCAGTGATCTTGGAGCCCATGAAAATAAAATCTGTTACTGTTTTCATTTCTTCCACTTTTTTTGCTATGAAGTGATGGGACTAGATGCCATAAACTTAGTTTTTTTAATATTGTGTTTCAAGCCAACTTTTGCACTCTACTCTTTTACCTCATTAAGAGGCTCTTAGTTCCTTTTCACTTTCTGCCATTAGTGTGGTATCAACTGCATTTCTGAGATTGTTGATATTTCTCCCACCAATCTTAGTTCTGACTTGTGATTCATCCAGCCTGGCATTTCGCAAATGTACTTTCCATATAATTTAAATAAGCAAGGTCACAATATATAGCCTTATTGTACTTATTTCCTATTTTGAACCAATCAATTGTTCCATTTCTGGTTCTAACTGTTGTTTCTTGGCTGGCATGCAGGTGTCAGATCTGCCCCAATCTGAACCCTTAGGAAAGAAAGACCCTTGACTCCATTTAGTTAAAGCAAAGGGTTCTTTTACTAAAGGTGTTGTTTGCAGTAATGTCAAGGCAGCTCTGAATTCTCCTGTACTTGCAAGATACAAAAAAGATTCACCCACAACCCATTCTTACCCCTCCACCCCCGAGACCAGTTCCATTTCCAGTCAACCACAACTCGCCAAGATGTTTTGAAAATGCTGAGGTGTTTGCGGATAATTCACATATTTCTCAGGGTGCTTGTCCTTGGGATGCTGGTGCAAACAAGATTGTCACCTGTCATTCCCCTTCCCAATTTCCCATCACCTACAAACACAGCTTTATTGCCCTTTCATCCTCCCCACCTCTTCTGGCCTTTGACGGCAGGAAGCCTGTGAGATGACAAGCTGAATCAGGCACAGCTGACATTAGTTTTCTCTGGTGACAGTTATGATGGTCTGGTACTCCCAACACTTTAAGAACTTACCACAGATTGTTGTGATCTACATAATCAAAGGCTTTAGCATGATCAATAAAGCAGAAATAGATGGTTTTCTGGAACTACATTGTTTCTCATAATCCAGGAAATGCCGGAAATTTGATCTCCAATTCCTCTGCCTTTTCAAAAAAATTATTTCTACTTCTTAGTTCTCAGGTCACATACTGCTGAAGCCTAACTTGTACCATTTTGAATATAACCTTGCTAGTGTATAAAATGAGTTCAATTATATGGTTGTTTTATGCATCATAGTATTTATTATATATTTATTAGAAGTGATCAGGCTTAAGTAGCTTTTGCGATTAAATTACAGAGCTTAATTTTATTTTTTATTTTTTTTGTGGTTGTTTATTTTGCAATTCTATCTTAATTTTATTCCAGAAATCTGTTATGTAATCTCTAACGCTATTTAGTATGATTGTTATGTTATTTATTTGATATTGGCCTACAACAAAAATAGAAAAGTGTTTATAATGTCTTTGTTTAAAGAAACATTTATATGTATGTTTTGAATATATGAATTATTTCTCCCTCCCTCAGTTTGTTCCTCTCTGATTTCCTCTGCGTTTCAGGTTCATTCTTTTCTGAGAAGTGTCAGATTCAACAACAGTGTTGGTGAAAAGATCTCCTTTGATACAAATGGAGAATTCATTGGTGGATTTGATATTATCAATTGGATCACATTCCCAAATCAGTCTTTTGCAAGGGTCAAAGTTGGAATGGTAGATCCCACAGCTCCAGCAGAGAAGTTCTTCAATATTTCTGTAGATTTCATCACATGGCCAGTAGGCTTTAATCAGGTTAGCTCTTTGAATCTAAATTTGTCTGCCTTCATTTAAATATAATTTTTGATGAAAGTCTCAGAGCTCTGAATAACCCTGGTACAAATCTCCTGAGGAAGGAAAAATATCAACCATTTTCTAACAATTGCTATTGAATATTAGGAAATATACTTTCCTGGCTCCCTGTTAATTATGGACAATGGTTTTCATGGTTTTGAAGTAAAAGCTGCAAGCCAGCACACTAAATCTCATCACTTTGCTGACATCAACATTCAGAAGTTGAGAAAACCAACATCTTTACCTAACTAGCACAGAAATTGTCTATGAAGAGTGATGATGGTTAACAAAGGCTAACAATACAATTATTGTAGAGATTTAATTAATTATAATTTCAGAGCAATTACATTTAAAATTATGTCATCCTCCTACCCATTTTTAATCTCTTGATTCCACAGTAACTCTCCAAGCACTTTCTTTCCTCCTTGTATCTTAAAATATTCTTCTTCATTCATTAATAGACATTACCTCTATCTTTGTGTAATGATCCTTGTGAGACAGGACACAGTAAGGCCAAGAAAGAAGGGAAGTTGTTTTGTTGCTATGATTGCCATCTATGTCCAGAGGGGAAAATATCAGAGGAGAAGGGTAGGAAATTTCCAAATATAATGGGATTAAGTCTTTGGGGTACAACACTATCTGTAATCAACTGTATCAATTCCACTGTATTCTTTTTCAGACATAGATGCCTGCTCTCCATGTCCAGGAGATCAATATCCAAATCCCGGGAAAAATATGTGCATTCCAAAGCGGATCATATTTTTGTCCTATGAAGAGCCCTTAGGGATCAGTCTGACTGTTCTTTCTCTTTGCTTTTCTTTAATTACAATTTTGGTAATAACAATCTTCATGAAACACAAAAACACTCCCATTGTCAAAGCCAACAACAGGAATCTCACTTATACACTCCTAGTTTCTCTTCTCCTCTCTTTCCTTTCTGTCTTTCTATTTGTTGGGAGGCCCAATTTGATTGTGTGTCTCTTTCGACAACCAGCTTTTGGCCTCATTTTCTCTGTGGCAGTTTCTTCTGTATTGGCCAAAACCTTTGTTGTGGTTCTAGCATTCATGGCCACCAAACCCGGTTCCAGATTGAGGAAATGGGTTGGGGGAAGGATGGTCAGTTTCATTCTATTATCCTGCTCCCTTATTCAAATATGTGTTTGTGCTGTGTGGCTGATAACATCCCCACCTTATCCAGATTTTGATGCACATTCAATACCTGAAGAACTTATCCTGGAGTGCAATGAAGACTCCGTCATGTTCTACTGTGTTTTGGGCTTTATGGGTTTTCTTGCTCTGCTTAGCTTCTCTGCTGCTTTTCTAGCTAGGAATTTACCTGATAGTTTCAATGAAGCCAAATTCATCACCTTTAGCATGTTGGTCTTCTGCAGTGTTTGGCTGTGTTTTATTCCAACCTATCTAAGCACACGGGGAAAATATACATTGGCTGTGGAGATCTTCTCCATGATCTCCTCCAGTGCTGGCTTATTGGTGTGCATCTTTTCCCCCAAGTGTTTTATCATTGTGATGAGACCTGAGCTTAATGATAAGCACCAACTCATGAAGAGAAAGCTTTAATAAATCTTTATGTTTGCCTGATATTCTTTATATGTACATGTTTGGGAACTTCCCCACTTCAACATTTAAGCCAGAGAACAATGTATTGAGACAGTGATGTTCTATGTTGCCCCGTCTTCTGGAGATTTGGATAGCTTGGAAGGGTTGAAGTGATATGCCTCCAAGAGTTTCATATACAAAAAGAATATAGAAAATTATTAGAAAATAGAAAATTAGGAACATTATACACAACTTTAGCAGATAAAAAGAAAGGGGGTATTGCCATATATGTAAAGGAAAAAATCAAATCAAATCTAAGATATGCAGATGACAAAGGTAGAATTTTGATGGTGGAATTGGAGATAGAACAGAAACAAATGCTACTTACAGTAATTTATGCACCAAATAAAAATCAACAAGAATTCTTTATGTTGACATAATTCATAATATCAGGCAAACATCAATTATGTTTGCCTGTTATTCTTTCTATGTACATGTTGGCGAACTTCACCACTTTGACATTTAAGCTAGAGAACGTTGTACAGAGACAGTGATGTTCTATGTTTTCCCATCCCCTCAGATTTGGATAGCTTGGAAGGTTTTGTTTTTGGAAGGCAATTATAACCTGAGGTCTATAAAAGGATTAATTACAGAACAAATTAATGTTTTGATGTATTTATTGATATTATAGATTTATTGACATATTTTAGTATGTTATGGTGAGCTCTGACTAAATGTATTGGTTAAATATGAATTGCAAAATTGTGTTTACTGATCATCTTAATTCATATGGAATAGAATGTATAAAAAGAAGTGTCAGGTTTCGGGGCTATCTTAAATAAACTTCATTCTCAAGCGCAAAGTCTCTAATGAATCACTTTTATTTTAAGAATAGCAGAATCCGACATTCCTGATTCAAGTTGCAGCCAAACTGGCCCCTCCTTCCAACCCCCTCCTCTTCCGCTCTCCAGTCCCAATGTCCCATTGGCCATCATGCAGATCCATCTCTACATCCCGGCACGTTCTTTTCACAGGAATGTGGCCTCCACCCTCGTCACCCAGGAAACACTATCTGTAACATTCAAAAAACTAGGTAAAAGTTCATCTCAGCAATAAATCAAGCTTCTGCTCTATGCTTCATCTTGTTCATGTCAGCGCTGGAAGAGAGCCTAATTTGGAACGCTGACATCCGGCCCCTCTCCCTTCACTTCTGCGACATCACCTATCCCATAGGGAAAAACACAACAAGATTAGTCTCATCAGCCGCTCCTTGGCTGTGCACCCCCCCTCCCGGCTTTCCCGGGTGGTCTGCATGGAATTTTGCTATAAGGCGGTCAGCTTGAATGTTTGCGCTCTTCACCCAGGAAGCCTCTGACAATGGGTAACCCTTCCATTTAATTAAGTACTGAAGGCGCCCCCTGTGCCATCTTGAATCAAGAATCCGCTGCACTTCGTAGTGCGTTTGGCCCCCAACAACCAGGGGCCCAGGGGGTTCATGTGGCATTGGCCTTAAAGTAGACCCCACTACAGGTTTTAGAAGGCTACTGTGAAAAACGGGGTGAATTTTCCCCAAAAGCCGTGGCAACTGCAATTGCACTGTAACGGGGTTGATTATTTTTATTATAGGAAATGGTCCTATAAATTTTGGGCCAATTTCCTGCTCGGGAGTCTAAGTCTCAAGTACTTGGTGGAGAGGTAAACTTTCTCTCCCAGCTGAAATGGTCTTTGGGGAGTTCGGTGCTTGTCTGCTTGTTCCTTATAAGATTGAGCCGCCTTTGCCAGCGCCCTCTTAACATTCTCTCAAGTTTGTCTCAACATTGCCATCCAGTCGGTCAAGCTGACTGAGGAAGTGGGCTCCCTCAGGTATTCTGGCATGGGAACAAAATCCATGCCACTCAGTATTTTGAACGGGGTTAGCCCCGTGCTGCTGTGGACAGCATTATTATATGCAACCTCCGCAAAAGATAGGAGGTCTGCCCAATTGGACTACTGGTAGTCGACGTAGCATCTTAAATACTGTTCTATCATAGCGTTCAGTCTTTCTACCCCCCCATTGGTGCTTGGGTGAAATGCTGAGCTGAGCCCTTGGGATGAACCTATGGATCGTAGAAACTCCCTCCAGAACTTTGCTGTGAACTGGACCCCTCTGTCGGAGATGATTCTCCTGGGGACTCCATGTAGGTGGTAAATGTGTTTCAGGAACAGTTTGGATAACTGACGGGCTGAAGGCAGTCCACTACAAGGAATGAAGTGTGCCTGTTTGGAGAATAAGTCTATTACAGTCCAGATCACTGTATTTCCATTGCTCCTTGGTAGGTCTACTATAAAGTCCATTGCAATCTCCTCCCATGGTCTTGTTGGCTCAGCTACTGGTTGTAACAATCCAGGCGGGCACCCTGGTCTTGTCTTCATCGTGGCACAAATGGTGCAGCTTTTTACATAACTGTCTACGTCCTTTCTCATGTGTGGCCACCAGAACTGCCTTTGTACTGGGTGCAGAGTTTTTAGGAACCCGAAGTGTCCTGCTGGTTTAACGTCGTGGCTCCTCTTGAGAATCAGGATGCATAAACTCTGTGGGACATAGAGCTTTGTCCCCCTCCATGCTAGTTCATCTCTTTTTGTCAAGAGATGTTGATTGTCCCGATACCAGGGGTCTGTCAGCGTTTCATTTTTTAATTTTGCAGTTAAGTCACTTGCAAGTTGGCCTTGCTGGTCCCGTTGTTGCCATCTGGTGATCACTTGGGCCGCAGCTTGGGTGGAGGGGATGATGGCATTCACTACCTGCTCCCGCTCACTGTTGTATTGGGGCATCTGGGAGAGGGCGTCAGCCAGGAAATTTTTCCCTCCTGGGATGTGCTTAAGCTCAAAATTGAAACGATTGAAGTATTGTGCCCACCGCACTTGCCTGGGCAACAGTTTTCGTGGGGTTTTTAGGGCCTCTAGGTTTTTATGATCAGTCCAGACTTCAAATGGTTTCTGGCCTCCCTCTAGAAGGTGCCACCAGGTCAACAAGGCCCACCTTACTGCAAACGCTTCCTTCTCCCACGCCACCCATCGCCTCTCTGTATCGGTGAGTTTGCGGGAGGTGTAGGCACAGGGTTGTAGATCACCTTGGTTGTTCTTTTGGAGTAACATGGCTCCTACTGCCACATCACTTGCGTCTGCTTGGATGACAAAAGGCTGTTCCGGATCCAGGTGTTTTAAGACAGGTTCTTTTGCGAACAGTCCTTTTAGCGTCTCAAATGCCTGTTGGCAGGTCAGGTCCCACTGTAGGGGTTGTCCCGGGCGAGGTTTCATCGCTGGGCTTCCTGTCTTTAGGAGGTCCGTCAAAGGTTTGGCAATCTTCGTGAATGAGGGGATGAATTGTCTGTAGAAATTCGCAAAGCCTAGAAAACTTTGCAGTTGTCTGCGGGTGCGAGGGGGCTGCCATTGTAGAACTGATTGGACCTTGGCTGGGTCCATCTCTATCCCCTCGTTTGATACTCGGTAGCTCAGGTAGTCTAGCCGTGATTGGTGGAAATCGCATTTTGGCAGTTTGACATATAGGTTTGCCCGTAGCAGTTTTTTCAGTGCTTGGCGGACGAGGGGTATATGTTCGTCTATGGTCTCCGTGTAGATAAGGATATCGTCCAGGTAGACGAGGACCCCTTTGTAAAGGTGTTCATGTAAGACTTTGTTTATTAACTGCATGAATACTGCGGGGCTCCTTGCAATCCAAAGGGCATTACTTTAAACTGGAAACTACCCAGGGGGCAGTTGAATGCTGTTTTCCATTCATCTCCTGCCTTTATGCGTACTCGGTAATAAGCTTCTCGAAGGTCTAGTTTGGTGAAAACCTTCCCTTTAGCTAGGTGGGCTAGCATGTCTTTCATGAGGGGGAGGGGGTACAAGTTGTGTACGCAAACAGCGTTGATACTTTGAAAGTCGACCACCAGTCTCATGGAGCCGTCCTTTTTCTCTATAAACATGACCGGCGCCGCTACCCTTGGTTTCACTGGCTCAATAAATCCCCTTTGTAAGTTTTTGTCTAT